CATCCACTGAGCAGGATGTTAATATTTAATTTGGACTAAAATCCTGCTCGGTGAATCTGTTAGAGAGTTTCTCTCCCTCATCCAAACTCCCTGTTTCCATTAAAGCTGAAGGTGCATTGCAAACGTTCTGTTCATTTTGTAACAATAGCTGGACCAAATGTTTGCATGTGGGGCGGACAGCAGGAAGGGATTGTTAGTTTCAGTTTCCCTCGGTGTCTAGATTTTTCAGTTTTAAAGTGAATTCTGTAGCAATTTGAAAAATGATAATAATAAACTAAATCATGAAAATTCGCCAGTGTTTTAGTGCAAAGCTCCCAAAAGACTTCCGGTTAACTTGGCAAGAGGTCAGGCAGCTTGCCCTGGAGCTCTGCAGATAACACAATTTTAATTGAGTATTAATGAGTTTTCTTTTAATATCTTCCAATATGCACTTTTTATATGCAGTTTTGATCTACAGAAATATTTTTACAAGCATTTTCCCCAACATAAAGCATTTTGTATTTTTTAAATGTATGCATTTTAATGCACACTTCCTCCTAAATATCTGCATTTTTGTGTATATTTTTGGTCATGCAACTGCATTACAAAATCTGCAGGATTGTGAGTTTTGAAGGATAGCTATGTTTTGGTTCCTGGATTGATTCAATAAGTATGAATTAGGTAGTTGCTTATTAAAATGCAAACAAAATCCAATTCCCTTGCCCCATCTGTAACTGAGGTCGCATAAAAATATGTGTATATGGATAGCACCTCTCAGCAATCCACCCAGTAAGCAAAGCCAGCTGCCTCCCTCTGGCCATCACAATGCCTTTACCGCAGTCCCCACACACTTGCTTTCAAGTCTCCTCCTGATTCAGATGCAATTTCTAGTTTTACTAAGCTACCTGCTGTTTTAGGGACGCGGGTGGCGCTGTGGGTAAAAGCCTCAGCGCCTAGGGCTTGCCGATCGAAAGGTCGGCGGTTCGAATCCCCGCGGCAGGGTGCGCTCCCATTGCTCGGTCCCAGCGCCTGCCAACCTAGCAGTTCGAAAGCACCCCCGGGTGCAAGTAGATAAATAGGGACCGCTTACTAGCGGGAAGGTAAACGGCGTTTCCGTGTGCGGCTCTGGCTCGCCAGATGCAGCTTTGTCACGCTGGCCACGTGACCCGGAAGTGTCTCCGGACAGCGCTGGCCCCTGGCCTCTTGAGTGAGATGGGCGCACAACCCCAGAGTTTGTCAAGACTGGCCCGTACGGGCAGGGGTACCTTTACCTTTACCTTTACCTGCTGCTTTAAAAAAAAAAAAAACCAATCCTCGTATGTTTATATGCTCAAAAGTTTTTTCATTGCATGACATTATTTTAAAACAAAATTTCCCCCAAATGGAAGTATCATCATCATCATTCCTCCTCAGCATTGCCGTATTTTTTGCTCTATAAGACGCACCAGACCACAAGACGCACCTAGTTTTTGGAGGAGGAAAACAAGAAAAAAATATTCTGAATCTCAGAAGCCAGAACAGCAAGAGGGATCGCTGCGCAGTGAAAGCAGCGATCCCTCTTGCTGTTCTGGCTTCTGGGATAGCTGCGCAGCCTGCATTCACTCCATACGATGCACACACATTTCCCCTTACTTTTTAGAAGGGAAAAAGTGAGTCTTATATAGCAAAAAATACGGCATTTAATACATTCCAAACACATAACAAATCAAATACAACAAAAAGCATATTACAGTATATTTTAGAATCATAGAATTGTAGAGTTGGAAGGGGGTTAGGCCACCCCCTGCAAGGCAGGAATCTCAACTAAAGCATCCATGACAAGTATTAATTGCCAGAATTGATACTTCCATTGGCAGATATAAAGCACAATTTTAGTGACTTAATCTCTGTCTCCTGTTTTCTAGTCTCCACTTCCCCTAGTTTGGTAACTACGAAGTTTAACTTTTTTTATGTATATGACTTTGTGGATCTGTTTATATGTTTGACTCGGCCTCTAAGCGAGCAGATATTATGAGTAATGCTCAGCGTTAGTTATATTTAGAGGAGATTAATTGAAATCAGTGGGTCGAATCAAGTATGAAGAACACTGGGAATAGCCCTGTGATAAAATAATGGCATTTTACAAACTAGGCCACTATAGATATTATAATACTGCAAATATTGTGATTCATTATGAGATTAAATAAATAAAGCCAACTCTGGGCATGTAACAAATTCACTCAGCAGTAGAGTATTCAATAAATGGATTCCAACTCGCTTAAAAAAAATCAGAGCTGGCACATTCCAGGTGGCATTTTAGCAATGGGCAGTGGGCAGCGGTGTCACTTATGAACAGTAGCCAAGCTCGGCTGCCATCCATGGTGGCTGGCCATCATCTTAATTTGCCCTGGTCAAACACCAGACCTAAACTGCTTAGCTTCCGTAGGGTTGCAGCTTTATGCAACCTTAGACCCTACCCTTTTCTGCTATGGACCATAACATCTCGAGGGAAAGTATTATTATTTTGCACCTGTGCAGAAACTTTTCTTACTGCACATACATCAAGTAGCAAACCACAAAGAAGCAAAGAACCGGAAGGTTGACAGTGACTTCCTGACAGAGAGTGAAAACGCAAAGGGAAGCAGAAGGCTGACACAACATTGATCGATCAAACAATGTTGCTGGAGGTAGCCAAGTCTTGAGAACTTGTCAAGAGACAGCGGCCTCCCCCTTTGATGATCTTGGCTTCGCCAAGCAGAATGGGCAGCGTGTAAATATAAGCAGATATGCACACGGAAAAAATCCGTCAGAGAAACGGATCCTCAGGGAAAGCAAGGAGACAGATCTCTTGGCAGGAAGAGAAGAAGAGCTGGGCTTTCATTTCAGGCTCAGTGCTACACAGATCATGCACACCTGGTTCCTGCCCTAGAGGCCAGAGAACAAGGGGGTCTTGTGATGCCTCCTGGAATCTGTCATTGCCTTGTAGAAAGGGCCAGTTAACTGCCATGTAGTGGACAAAGGATAGATGGGTCTGTCAAGTTTGTTTTCTCTGCTTCTCAGTTTTTCAACCTTAAATTCAGTTATCCACATTTCCAAATCAATCTGTGATCCCCCCCCCTTTTTAATTTTTTTTCATGAAGCTTCATGAGCATTTTAGTGCAAATTTCTCCTAGTCAACACATTTTTGTATGCAGTTTTGACTAATATACAGTTTTGCAAGCCATTTTAACTGACACGAAGCATTTTTTTGGATGTTGCATTTATGAACTAAGGCATTGTTATGCACATTGCCCCCATAACATTTGCACGCTTGAATGCCTCAGTTGGAGAACGGCATTGCAAAATCTGAAGGAGTCCAAATTTTGAAGGACAACCATCTTTTAGTTTGCATGTTGATTCAAGAAATGTAGATTAAATTAAAGTACAAACAAAATTGAATTCCTCTGCATCCCAGTAAGATGAAACAGAATATAATAGGGATGAGTAAGAAGTTCAAGTTCTAAGGAATTAACCTTGAAACAGTGTCTTTGTGTATTTTGTGAAACTTACAGAGGATATTGTCCATGATGTTGCTCAGTGTCCACTTTATAAAGATCCCTTTGTTTGTTGTGTTTTGTTGCGAGAAGAATGTTGTTACACCTTGCATGCTTCTTGCTGTTCAGTACTGTTACTTTGCATTTTTCTTTATTTGTGTTGGCAACCAGGAAATCAAGAGCTGCATTTGTGGCTCAAATCTGAACGTTCTTTCTGCTTTTTTTGTTTTGTTGCGGCTTATAGCTAAACAAAATGACATATTACCTGCCTACCTCCTCCTCTGGCCCGTCACGTTGTTCTGCCATTCCAATGATCCTTTTGCTCTGGGCTTGGCCACTGTGCGCTAATGGCCCCTAAGTGCTGGGCAATGCTAAGGCCACTTGTCTGGGAGGGAGCTGAAGTGGCTTTAGATTTTGACCCAAGGAGGGACAGAAACAGCACTGCAGTGGGAAATACATGGGGTGCAGGGAGGCTCCACAGTCCCTCTATTCAGAAGGAAGTTCCATTGAGTTCACTGGAGCACTTACTACTAGGCAAGTCTATATAGCAGGGGTGGGGGAACCTTTCTTCAGCATTCCCTGGCCACATGCCAGTGGTAGGTGGGGGCCAGAGGCAGAAGTGGGTGGAGCAACAAATTTTACCTTTGTGCAGCGTGAATCAGACCTGTGAGGCATCAAGAACACATCCCAACTAGGCAAAGGCACTTGTGGGGGCAAGCAGCAGGATTGGCTTTGAGCAGGACCAGATAAAGGAACCTGCAGGGCTGCATTTGGACCCTGGGGCAGAGGTCTCCCCACCCCTGGCCTATAGCTTTACAGCCTGAGGTTACTTATTATTGAAGCCCAAGCAAGGGTGAATGTTGGAGCTGGCTGGCAAGATGCAATCTTGGAGAGCTGGAGGCATGTCCATTGGTTTCAGTGGGGACTTATGGATGCAAACTGCCGCTGTTTCTGCTGGCCTCCCTCGTCTGCTTTACTTGTACTACTACCATCTCTAGAGCAGCTTTCCCCAACCTGGTGCCCCCTAGCTGTTTTGGGATTGCAGCTCCCATTAGCCCCAGGCAACATTGCCAATGGTCAGGGATGATGGGAGCTGTAGCCCAGATCTTCTGGAATATACCAGATGGGAAAGGTCATTGCAGAGTGACTTTGTCATCTTGATAGCAAGAACTAAATATGATGGAGGTATAAACAGCAAAAGCATCCCACATGGACACACATGTATCCTAAAAGCTGGAGGAAGTTACATAAAGATGGTGCATCTTCACCATAGTAATATCACATGATTGTTTGGACAGAATGCAACACATAGCAATGTGGGACAGAACTATTTTTCACTTTGATAGGAGTCATACTTAATATTTTTTTCCTTCTAAGGCTGCAGATTTCCACATTTACCTTTCTTAAAAGAAAACAACAGTTCATGGAGGAAATGTTCTTTGGGTGATGTTGTTCATTCAGGCAGCTTGGGAGTTTACCAGCAAGTTCTATCTTCTTCTTCCTCCCCAGGTGTATGAAAGAGGAACCAATGTGGACCAGTTTGTGACCCGTTTCCTGCTGAAGGAGACAGCCAATCAGATTCAGTCCTTGCTCAGCTCGGTGGAAAGTGCCGTTGATGCTATTGATGAGCAAACCAGTCAGATAAGGTCAGGTCTTTCATTTGTCCTATATTGAATTTAGCAACAGCCTGACTACTGTTTTCTGTCTACTGTTGTGCTTTGGAATCTTCACAAGATGATTGTTTTTGGTGCCCTCTTAAGACAAACATTCTACATGCTGTCTCTAGCAACGTAATACCTTAACCCCTGGGGCCAGTTCCATGTCTGAGGCCATCTGGCCAGGCTCAACTTTGTGGGTGGAGCGGTGGTGGGTTCACCTGGTGGCAATGGCAACAGCAGATAGTAGCACTCTCATCAGTGCTAAGCAGCCAAAGGCTGCCATTTTAAGTTCCCACACTGCCCTAAGCTGATTGGATATTGTGGGTATTGTGGGAAATTAATATGGCAGCTCTCAGATCCTCAACCACTTGATTCTGGGAAATATTTTAAAGGGAACCTTGGGACAGGCATAATTGGTGGGTCCTTTGAGCCCTGGTGCCTTAACTCTTCCACTCCTTGTGAGGAATTGTTCCTATTGGAGGGATGGCACTGGAGAAGCCAGAGGATTTCCCTCCCAGAGTTGTGCTGTCTTGTCAACAGAAGTTTCAGATAATGGGGAAAGTTGCAGATCAGGGCAGGAACAGGAAAACCCCATGGCTTCTATCCCCCCCCCCGCCCCCTTGAGACTTTGCAAAATGCTAGAAGCAGCAGGGAAAGCACCAAAATAAAAGGGTTACCATGAATCACAGCCTGGATTCAGCAACAAGGAGTTAAAATGTCACCCAGCTCTACAGAGCTTGTTGACCAGAACCCAAAAATGGTTGCCATGGAAATGGGGGAAATCAGAAGCTCATATCAAGAGACCTCCGCACCCACCACCCGGTGTTCTAAATTAAAGAAAATAAACAGAAGGCTACAAAGTTCCAGCAGGCAGCTTGTTGGGGAAGATCTTTCCATTCATTGGGACCTTGTGGGAGAAGATTTCCTCAAGATCCTAAACAGCAGCCCCATATTGAACTTTCCCCAAGTAACCAAAAAATCCAAATGAGACCTTTACTGCTAATTATTTCCATGTTTGCACAAATGTAATACACTGGAATTGCTTGACTCTGCCTTCATTTGATAGGATCTCCTTGACAGAAATGATGGTTTTACCACCGAAGTTCATCTACCTTGTGCTGTTCTCCCCACTGAAATTCCTGTCCAACATTCTAAATGGAAACTTTCATTTTAAAAGAAAAATGCCCATATACTGCTAAGATTCTCAGATATATATATATATATAAAAAAAACCAATGGAAAGAGCGTGAGGTATTCCCTTCTGGAAACTATATTATGAGGCTTACCAGCTCAGGCACTTACTATCCTATATTAATGACTCAAGTGACAAGCTCTGGAAACGAATAGAGCGTTCGTAATTACAACAGTCTAATCCACACTGCATTTCATTTATTGAAAAAGAAGCAAATAAAAGTCTGCAGATGCAATGCAACATATTGAAAATGATCCCGAAGATTTGGAAATGCAGAAAGCAAGCCTGAATGCTCACAATCTCTCTGTTAATTCCAATACACGAATACCCTACATTCTATTTAAAAATCAGAGTAAGTGTGAGTGAATGAAAAGAAAAAAAATATGGATAAATTTTGTGACTATTACATAAATTCTAAACCAATTTCTAGGGATACACAAAGGAACCACCTTCAAAAACACAACACAGACTTGGTTGATGTGGTATCAGGTCAACTTCCACAGAGTGCTAGGGAACTTACACAAGTTAAAAATTTATGTGCTGAGCTACAGTTCCCAGGATATTTTTTTTGGGGGGGGGAGAGATGCCTGCTAAGGTGGTATCAGAGTGCTTTGAATACATGGTGTGGATCTGATTTCCTGGCTCTGAAAATACGTCTTACAGGTGTGCCTTCTGGCGGTTCCCTCATTTCAAGAAGTGAGGTTACAGGGAACGAGACAGAGGGCCTTCTCGGTAGTGGCCCCCGCCCTGTGGAACACCCTCCCTTCAGATGTGAAGGAAATAAGCAGCTATCCTATCTTTAAAAGACATCTGAAGGCAGCCCTGTTTAGGGAAGTTTTTAATATTTAATGCTGTATTGTTTTTAACACATGATTGGGAGCCGCCCAGAGTGGCTGGGGAAACTCGGCCAGATGGGCGGGGTATAAATAATAAATTATTATTATATTATTATTATTATATTCTAAGTTCATGGTCATCACATTTTGTGGAAGGCATTTCCAGGGTGAAAGGTGTTGGTTGAAAAGCAGAGTCCCGTGCCCAGCGGAAGGATGAGGAGTACGTACTACATACTCTATATTGCTTTATTTACAGTTCAAAGCTGGTATATTACAGAAAGACATCTTGCCTCTGCCGGAGCAGAAAATGCATCCTCTCTCCTCGACAGCTCGGAGAGAATCACACAGTGAAACTGCAAAGAACAGTGAAAAACAGGAAACCAGTGTACGTCACATCCAGTCTCCCTTTCCCGTGAGAAACTCCAACAGTACAGACTGTGGAATGTAAACACCTGTCTCGTGACAAGCCCTTTCGCTGCACAGTGAAGGAAAGCAGAAACCAACAAAAGGCTGTAGTTCAGTGGCAGCGAATCTGCTTGAAATGTAGACTCTCCCAAGATTCATTGCCATGCAGCTCCAGGTAGGACTGGAAATGTCCCTTGCCTGAAACCCTGGAGAGCCACTGCCAGTTAGTGTAGACCAGGGTTTCCCAAACTTGGGTCTCCAGCTGTTTTTGGACTACAGTCCCCATAATCCCTGACTACTGCTCCTGCTATTAGGGATGATGGGAGTTGTAGTCCAAAAACAGCTGGAGACCCAAGTTTGGGAAACCCTGGTGTGGACAATTCTGAGCCACATGGACCCAGTGGTCAAAATAAAGGCAACTTCCTGTGTTTCTATGTGTCATGTGAGAGGATGCAGCAAAGAGAGGCAGTCTCTAAGCTCTTAGCTCTGAGTAGCAAAAAGCCGTGCTCATGTGCATGACTTTCAGTCGCCAGCTTGACTTCCTGCTTCCTCTTCTTCCTCTGCAAGATGCTGGAGTCAGGAGTGTTTCTGGAGCTTCTCCTCCTTTTCTGTTCTCACTCTGCTTCTGCCGCTTTTGATTTATTTTGCATCAGTCTCTGGTATATTCAGCAGCCTCAACAGCCAATGTATATTCATGAGAATTACTTAACAGAGCAGAATGGATCTCCCTGCATTGCAGGTGGATATGATGCATCAACTCTCTGCTCTCTGAGTATGGCCATCACTTTGGTGCTGCAGTTTCATTTTTAGCAAGTGTGCTATTATCAAGTCTACCCCCCACCCCCGAAAAAATGGGGCAGGGTGTCTGCCTACAAAGCTTGGACAAGCAATATCCAAGCAAGCTATGTTTTTCTGCCTGTGTGCATTTGGCAGTGTTTTGGGGACAGGGGAGACACAGACCTCAGGAAGAGGCAGTGCACTGCCCAAGGCTCCAGTATTTGGTGATGAGGACAATCTGCAGTTACCTCCAGACTGTCAGCATTTGGGGGGAGGGATTCAAGTGCAAGAAGGGAATTTTAGGCTTGCCCAATTAAAGTGCTCTGTTGCTGTGGGTACAACAAATCTGCTTTTCTTTTCTTTTTAAAAAACTGAGTTTTGTGGTTAAAAAAGTGACAGGTAAGTGCACTGAAAACCATAGGACAAATGAATGATTAATAGGGAGGTGTAAAAACACTGCTCAAGTAAATCAGGATGAATGGAAGATTGACATACAACTTTCCCGCAAACTAATCAGAGCAACTTCTCCGTAAAGACTGGGCATAGTCTGACCTTCACATAAGTTTTGTACAAGCAAACCATGATGAATGTTGAATTAAAAGGTGATCTAAAGGAGATGTGGGAGTGAATGAGTCAGGTAACAAGAAAAGCAACCCTGTGGTACCTGCTAAGTGACTGCTGTGCTGGATCATGATGAAGCCATGTAGTAGCCAAACTACATGATGCAGACAAGGCAAAGGTGTCCCACTTTTCCAAAATGTTGTGGCCCTTTCCCTAAAGAAAAAAGTCCTTTACACCCATCAGATTGGTCTGCAGGCCAGTGGAATAAATAGGAGCTGTGTATATGGATCCAGGTTAAGAGTCACCAACATGATGCTGTTGAAACCAGTTCCCATGAGCCCTGACCAGCATGGACAGTGGTGAAGGAGGATGAGTTTGGAGGGCACCACGTTGGCTATACCTGATGTAAGTGCTCATTTTGAATTGGGTTTGAGGCTAAATATAGATGCAAAGCGGCCTGGCATGCTGCATTTTGGGACCTGTGTTGATTCTTTCTAGACAGTCACACCTGTGCTTGTGGCCTCTATGTTGTATTTCATTCTGAATAGCATTGCGCTTGCTTGAAGGATTCAGAGAAGTAGCTTAAAACTGCTTCACTCTAGCGCATGGCCTAGATGGAGGCTGGACGGTGGATTCTATTGACACCTGACCTCCAGCTGCTGCTCTCGGGTTAAGTGATCAAAGGGAGGTTTAGAATTCACATCAATTACTTCTATTTTATGGTTCAGGCAGCCTTACCCCCCACCCCCCCACCCCAGACCTAATGTATTATAATGCAGGACCTCAATGCAGCCCTCCACGCCTCTGTGTCAGGCTCTCAGAACTCTCTCCAGTCACACCCCATCTCCCCAGGCCTGCTCTGCACTCTCCTGTGAGTCTTTTGACTGGGCTGAAATCTGTCCTTGGAACTCTGAAAAGGCTTCCTGCTTGCCTGGGTGGAGGATAGAGAAGAGTGGGGTGGGGGTATATAGAAGCAAGCCTACTATAAAAGGTAAAGGTACCCCTGACCGTTAGATCCAGTCAGAGATGACTCTGGGGTTGCACACTCATCTTGCTCTATAGGCCGAGGGAGCCGGCGTTTGTCCGCAGACAGCTTCCGAGACATGTGACCAGCATGACTAAGCCGCTTCTGGCGAACCAGAGCAGCACACAGAAATGCCATTTACCTCCCCTCCGGAACGGTACCTATTTATCTACTTGCACTTGACTTGCTTTCGAACTGCTAGGTTTGCAGGAGCTGGGACTGAACAACGGGAGCTCACCCCGTCGTGGGGATTCGAACTGCCGACCTTCCGATCGGCAAGCCCTAGGCTCTGTGGTTTACACCACAGTGCCACCCACGTCCCAAGCCTACTATGGAAAGAAGTAAAAATTACCACTCACTTTTGCTTCAGGTCCTGCCCTCCACAGGGATGTGCCCCCCCCCCGGAAGGTTGTGTGGAAGCCATTTTGACCCTCAGACTGAAAGAAGTCCACTCTTGTTAGTACATTATAGCAGAACTGCATGGATAAAGGGTCTGGAAACCAAGTCTTATGAGGAATGGTTCAGAGACTTGGGTGTGTTCAGCCTGGAAAAGAGTGAGAGGTGATAGGATAGCCATCTTCAAATATCTGAAGAGCTGTCACATAGAAGCTTGTTTTCTTCTGTTCTGGAGGGTGGAATTTAATGAGCCTATGCATTGGCTACCTATCCATTTCCATTTCCTGGGTGCTGCCTTTAACCTATTAAACTATAAAGCTCTGGGTTGCTAGATGTTTTTCCCACCCCAATGTGAGCTGGTGTTTTAAGCTTTATTTATTGATTTGTCAAATGCTGGTGGTTGTTAAAATGTCACAGGTTTTTACATTTGCTTCTAAGGCAGCTTGAGACTGTCCTGCATTAGGAGTCAAAGGGCTTGTTCACAATTCCGCTTTGTCCCAAGCCTAAAAAGCACCGGTCTGAGCAGTTTTCAGTTTGCTCCATCAGGAAAACCCACTCTGCCACTGAATCGGAACAAACGCCAATCCATGGAAAACCAGTTTATCCCTCCAGGGAAAGCGGTGAGACAAGTGAAAGTGTGGAAGAGCCCTAAGAGAGCAATTGTAATGATGATTTTATTCTACACAGCTGTGATATTTTCTTATGAGTTGGTGGTTTAGAAATACCCATAAATAAAGTGTAAATCATGTGTCTGCTCAGAAGTCAATTCAATCGGGCTTATTCCCAGGTTAAGTTGGGTTATGATTGCAGCGACAACTTTTTTTTTAAAGGTGTGTGTGTGTGCGTGATGTGGCCTGGCTTTAGATGCCAAGCTCTCTTCTGTTTGAAAGTAAATATATGTTTAATACATTGGCAGAGTTGTCCTGAGCAGGTGCCAGATCAGCAGAAGAGGAAACAATCAAGAAGCAATTAGTCCTTGGATGGAGCAGCTAAAGATTTATTTCTCTGCTCATGGGCCTCCAGATGAAATAATCAATGACTGCTTGCTTTCCACTTGCATTCTATGAAACTCTGAATAAACAAGATAGAAGCAGATGATTGCTTCTGGAGGAGTGGGCTTTCCTGCAGAGACCCTGGGGTAGCTGCCAAGGGACCCACATCCCCCCCCAACATGCTGCTTTTATATACCAAACAAAGCACTGTTATTTTTGAGCATCAGGCATATCAGCTGGAGTGAGTGGCTGCACTGTTATGAAATATCCTCTCAGTACTATTATAACCATCCTTTTACCTATCCCCCACCCACTCTTCCATCTCTTATTTTTCAGCTTATCCCACAGACACCTTTTTTAAACCTTTCCTACATCTTTCCAATCTTCCACAGTTGTCAAGGGTACCAACTTATCTCGGTGATGAGAGTAGACAGGAAATTGTTCCCTTGGCAATTAACAGTACCGAATGGCAGGTTATGTACCCGCTAGCAGATTGCCTCAAAGCCGCTGCAAACTTGAAACAAAACATAATTCAGTATCTGCGAGGCCTGCCCATGTGAAGATCTGCATCTCTCATCAATATGATAAGTCAACAAGAATAAGCAAGAAAGGCTTATCCTTGTCCTCCAAATTGATAAAATCCTGTCAATGGCAGCTAGCCACAATGGCTATGTTCTGTCTCCACTGTGGAGAGCAGTGTGCCTCTGAATATCAGTTGCCAGGAGTCACAAGGGTGGAGAGGGATGCTGTGCTCGGGTCCTGCTTGCAGGCTTCCCACAGAAATCTAGTCAACCAATGTAAGAACAGGATGCTGCTGGATTAGATGGGAATTTAGTCCAATCCAGCAGGGCTCTTCCTATGTTCTTCATGGATACAGTGGTACCTTGGGTTACAGATACTTCATGTTACAGATGCTTCAGGTTACAGACTCCACTAACCCAGAAATAGTACATCAGGTTAAGAACTTTGCTTCAGGATGAGAACAGATATTGTGCAGCAGTGGCACAGCGGCAGTGGGAGGCCCCATTAGCTAAAGTGGTACCTCAGGTTAAGAACTGTTTCAGGTTAAGAACAGACCTCCAGAACAAATTAAGTTCTTAACCCGAGGTACCACTGTATTGGTTAAATTGGGAGAAGCCAGTGTGGTACCCTCTCAATCTTATTAGACCTTGAATCCCATCGTCCCTGACCATTGGGAATGCGAGCTGGATGTTGATGGGAGTTGGAGGGCACCATTTTGGCTACTCTGTGCTAAATTATCCAGGTAGGGATTTGATCATCTGGCCCTAACCTCTTGATGCAGGCTGTTTATTCAGACTATTTACAACCCATCCTCTCTCAAAACAAATGACATGGGAAAGTATAAAGCACCAAAAAAAAAAAAAAAGCCATCCCTAAACCTAAACTAACCATATACTGTAAAATGCACCATCAAATAAATAAAGTAACTAAAAATAACAGAGTAAATGAAACACTAATCAACTTGCAAAACTTAAATGGCCTGAGCAAATCAGTCTTAACCTGGCCCAAAACAGTCAACAGCCAGTGTGGCATAATGGTTAGAGCGTTGGGTTACGACCTGGGAGAGCAGGGTTTGAATCCCCACTCAGCCATGAAACTCACAGGGAGACTTTGAGCCAGTCACTTTCTCTTAGCCTAACCCACCTCGAAGGGTTGTTGTGAGGATAAAATGTGAAACACATACACCACTTTGAGCTCCTTGGAGGGAAAGGTGGTATATTAATGTAGTAAATAAATTAAGGAATAAGATAACAAAGTCTGGAAGAGGATGGCATTCCATAAACGGGGGTGCAATCTTCTCTCAATGGTGAGGTGTATTGTGCATTGGCTGAAATAGCATACAGGTATGTATTATGTCATGGGAAATGCTTTGTTAAAAAATGTATATATTAGGTAAAGTTGTTTACAAAAATGTGTCTGTTAAGAGAAACTTGCACTCAAATGTTTGTGAATTTTCATGAGTTTTAAAAATAAATTTGCAAACTGATGTAGAAATGTGGAGAACTCAATTTAAGATGGGGGTAAAAATGAGAAATGGAAAGAATTGGTGGCCCAGTTGCTGTGCTAGTGCTGCATTTCATTACATCATCATCATCATCATTAAAATTTGTATACTGCCCTATACCCATAGATCTCAGGGCGGTTCACAACATGAAAAGCTATTTATTATCTAAAAGGGGGAAAATGTGTTCTTTTGTGTTAATCAGTTTCTTTCCTCCAATTGCAGACAGTTCCACAGTAAATCTGGCCACGGTGTCATGGACACCTGGTACGACAACCCTGTGCCTAATTATCCCCCCAACAACAGAATTGTAACCAAAGAACGCAGGAAAAGCTTCCAGACTGGTAAGTGTTGCTACAGATGCTGGGAAGCCAGCCTTGAGTAGGTTGGTGGGTTTCATGACCATCAATGGAAATTAATCAATGGGAGCGAAGCAGTGCTTTTTTTCTATAAAAAAATGTTTAGGGGTATTCTTTGCAACCACAATCTGAATTCAAGCTGCAGCTGTGAAGGAAGACTGCAGAGGGGCCCTAGAATGTGTTCCTGGTTATTCCTTGGACACTGCTGCCCACCTGTCAAACATTGCTCACAGAGGCCAATTCTGTTTTAGGAGAAGAGCCTGGAGCCCTGTGGCAGGACCTGATATGGGGAACCTGCAGTCCCCAGGTGCCATTGAGCTATAGTTCCCATCATCCCTGACCCCACTGGCCATGCTGGCTGGTGGGGTGGGACTGATGAGAGCTGGTGTCACTCTGGAAGGCCACAGCCCCTCTCCCTGGCACAGACAGCACTGTGTTAGATGGTACAATGATCTGACCTTGGTCTAAGGCAATTTTGTGTATGCCAAGGGAGATATACGAGGTCAGCTATTCAGCTAAGGAAGACTGCCAAATGCTGTGAAACCTTTTTGTGTTGTTGTCCCTCTTGGCAAATGCTACTTTTTTCTTTTGCAGCCTGGTCCAGAATGTCTGCAATCTCTTGCCCGATGTCCTTTTCTTGCCCCATAACTACCTTTCTTTCTGCAGCCTCTTCAGACACCAAGGAGGAAGGCCTGGAAGCTCAGATCAACAGGTTAGCAGAGTTGATTGGCAGGCTGGAAAACAAGGTAAGGAGGACCTTGTGTTTTAAAAAAATTTATTTTGACAGTGTCTTGCTTGCTTTCCTTTCCAGTAACTCTGCCCTGCACCTGCACCTCTGTTGTACCAGTGGTCACTGTAAGATTTATAAATTCAGTTTATCTCACCATAGTGGGATGAATTGTGCCCATGCTCAGTCTGCTGCCCAGGGACTAACTGTTGATGGAGAACAGTTCCCCCCATTTCCTTAGAGTTATTTTTCTTTAAAGCAGATTTGGGGCAGACTGACTTTCAAAGAGAAAGCTCCTCTAGCAAACCATCTCTGAAAAATAGGACACTTGACTGCCTTGCTTGTTGACAAGCTAAGTACTGAGTAGGAACTCATGGAATGGAAATGGAGCATAGAGGAAACCTCAGAGTAAATAATGCATAATGCAATAGAAGCATATCACCCTTGAATTCTTAAAGTGAGAGGTGAACAGGAAGACCCAAATGTGATACAAAACAGCAAACTAGAACTAAAAGCTGTGAAAATAAGAGAGAGAGAGAGAGAGAAGAGCGCAGAAGATCATGGAAAGCTGAAGGATACCATGAAGGTCCTATATTCTGCTCAGAATAAAAAGGACAGTGTGCTCCTGACATTCGGTTATATAATGTTTTAGTAGAGTAAGATTCATCCTATTTGTATTGCAGGATGAGCATTTTATTAAATAATATAATCAATGGTTTTCCTCTTTTTGCGGGGTGGGACAAGAATGAGCATTTTTTGTCAATCACCTTTTTGATGTTAGCTTTTACGTTTTGTATTATGGATTCTGTGTTCTGTATGCTTTTACAGTTTTAAGTACCTTTGAGGCATTTCATGTTGTAAGTGATGCATAAAATGCAAATGGTCATGAATGAGGTAGAGATGCTCCCAAAATTCACTTCTCCTGAATTTCTCCCTGGTGATTGTGTACTTTGAAATGTCCAGGGGAGCAGGGGGAGGGATAGGAAATTGAGTGGGAGGAAGGAAGTGGAATATCCTGAAGGAGAACCCTCCATGCTTCAATATTTTCTTGCAGGTTCCACTTCTTAAACCAGAATTTAAGATGGGTGAAACATTAGGCAGAGTGAACTGGAAATGCAATCGGGGATCATAACTGGGGAAATCCTTCCTTCCATGCTGTAATGTGAAGATGCGGGGGGGGCAGGGATGATGAGGTAGATATGGGAACATTTGCCTAGGCAGGTGCATGATTGTGGCTCACAAGTGCAGTGAAAATAACTCAAATCAGACACCAGTGTTGGGTGAAATCAGGCCACAACTTCATTGGCTAAACAGCAGGTAAGCAGGGTTGGCATGGCAGTAGAGCGAGGATCAATTTCTTCTTCCACTCAGACCTTCCTTTTGGAATGGTATTCTGCTTAGAGTTGGGAAGCACCCAACCTCCCCCCCCCCCATGGGAGTTGGCCAGTGATGAACCTTGGCATGCTGCTGCTATCCTATTCAATGCAGTGGGGTTTACTCTCAGGTAAGTGGGGTTAGGGTGGCGCTGTGGGTTAAACCACAGAACCACAGACTTGCCGATCAGAAGGTCGGCAGTTCGAATCCCTGCGATGGGGTGAGCTCCTGTTGTTCGGTCCCTGCTCCTGCCAACCTAGCAGTTTGAAAGCACAAAGAGCAAGTAAATAAATAGGTACTGCTCCAGCGGGAAAGTAAACGGCGTTTCCGTGTGCTGCTCTGGTTCGCCAGAAGTGGCTTAGTCATGCTGGCCAAATGACCCGGAAGCTGTATGCGGACAAATGCCGGCTCCCTCGGCCAATAAAGCGAGATGAGCACCGCAACCCCAAAGTCGGTCACGACTGGACCTAATGGTCAGGGGTCCCTTTACCTAAGTGGGGTTAGGACTGCACCATAACTTATCTTAGAATCCATAGTATATTATTTGCAACCCTCAGTATTTTAATACTTGCATTCACTTGGGCCATGTATTGAAGCCATGTCTGATGGATGGTGCAGCAATAAAACTGCTAGCACATTTGCAAAACTAAGCAGGGTCTGGTACAGTTGCAAACTGGGTGGGGGACCACATGTCAAGATTCCTGCATTGCAGAGGGTTGGACTATATGACGCTCAGGGTCACTTCTAATTATACAATTATATGATTCTATGAAGTCCTTCAAATTCAGAGCTGTGGAGCTGGATCTGACTGGTGGGCCAGCTAGATATGTCCCCCACCCCTGCAAGCAAAGTTTGACAGGTCCAGTCACCCCACGTCACAATCATAGGCAATCATAGGCATAGCCTACAAAGTGCTGGGATCGCCAGGTCTAACAAAGCACTGTGCACACGGGCTTTGCAAGGCCTGAAGTTCAGCTGATGGTTGGGTTTTGTGAACACTGCTTTGCAGGTGCCATTGATCAGCAGTGCCTGCAAGCTGACTTTTGGCTGAGTTTCATCTCCACCTTACCCCATCAGTTGGTTGTTGGATGAAAGCACTGTGCAAAATTGTGCTCTTAATTAGGGTTTTTGAAGATGTCTCCAGAAGCCCAGGTCAAAGCACTGTCTTGCCCTGCACTTTGAAAGGGACTTTATAGACACCACAGAGCAGCTGATTTGCATCTTTTCTGCTGAGCCCCATCCCCTCCTGCTGCACCCCTGATATCATGCATCACATCCTATGTAGGGCAGGTGGGCGTGACCTTTTGGGTGTAATGAAGGCAGCAGGCTTAGAGGTCTTCCCTGCTGTTCTAAGTCTTCCTTATGAATTCTAATGCTGGTACCTGGATTTGCTTGCTGCCAACAGGAGCAAAGGACGTGGATTTTGTTCCAAAAATAATTCATAGAAATGTACACACATTCTAAAGCTCACAAATATGGACTGGTATTCACACACACACACACACACACACACACACTGTTACCTTGACAACCAGCTTCTATGACAACACAAAAGAATAACTGTGAGGTCTCCAGTATATGACTCTTCCAAAGGAGTCTCTGTAACAAGCAGGCAATACTTGCACTTAGTGGGGTTTGGAGATCCCTGGCCTAGCTGGTTATCCAGAAAGCCACCCCAGCATAGCCACACAAGGGATTTAAGGGTGCTTCAGCCCTAGACACTTGCTGACTATTCTGCTCCTGTAAGGTGCCAGAAGTTACCAACTAAGGGCTGAAGTCAAAGAACCCTGGGGCTTGGCAGAGCAAGGAGAACCTTGTCTCTTTGTGGCTGCACTTGAGTGCCACCATTGTGAGTGGTGACAGGCTGGAACTGCAGCTACCAGTTCAGAAGAGGTGATAGAAAGGATGAATATGGTTCTCCACCTAGTCCTGTATAGAGGTTTTTTAAAAAAGAAAAACACAATTTTTAAAAAATAAATCTAATTAATAAGCAATACAAAACAATTATCTAACTACATTGTAGAAAAAGTTAAGGACAAAAATCTTCATGCTGCATATAGAGCAAATCAGTGAAAAATAGTAAAATTTAATTCTTCCTTAACTTATTTTATAGTAACATGTAATCAATCACAGTTCTCCCATTAATGTCTCCCATTATACAGTCTAATTGTTAACATTTGCCGTTTGATCCTCCATCTTTCCCGGCTCCCTTTTCTTTTATTTTTTTTCATGCATGATCCTTGCTAAAGTGAAGATAGACAATACTTGGTGACAGATATTCTTAGATCTCCTTGAATTGTTCACATTGTTCAATAGGCATAGCAATAGTCAGCCTGAAACCCCAGAGAGCTGCTGGCCGTCAGAGCAGACAGAACTGAGCTACAGTGCAGAATCTGGAGAAATGTAAATTTCAGAGGATTACAGCGTTTCAGTTGAAATATTGTATCAGAAAGTATGGCTCACATTAAAATCCAAATCAAATTGAATTTCCATGCTCCCCCAGCCCCAATCCCTAGCCACTCATCTGCAGGCCTCCCTGCTCACGGGGAGACTGGCCCTGTCCGTGGCTAACCCTTCCTGCAGCATTTCCTATAGCTTAGGGAATTTGGATCGGAAAACACGCCAGCCTTCTTCCTTCTCACATTAACAATTCATGGGGAGGAGGGAGAATTTCCCTTCCTCTGATGCACATCACACAGCAAAGGCGTTTAATCTATCTCAGGCGTTTAATCTATCTCAACACCACAGGAGAAATACGAACCTTTACAGGAGCCACTAATTAAGAAATGGACTCAGGTTATGCAGTAGCATGGCACATTTGGGGTCCATGTGTGTGAGAGAAAGCAGGGATTTTTGGGTTGTTGTTTTTCAAAAACAGGAATATGGGGTGGGGGGGTTTAAGCATTGTGGTATAGTTTTGGTTGCCTCGCCCCCAAACGGATATTGTAAAGTTGGAAAAGGTCCAGAAAAGGGCAACCAAGGAGATGAAGCAACTCCTCTGAGAGAAGAGGTGGTAGTATATGTGACATTTCACTTTACAGAAAAGGCAAGTAAGAAGCAACACAATAGACGTTTATAGAATTATACGTAGGCTGGAGAAGATGGATAGGGAAGTTTTTCTCCCTCTGCCATAACACTGGATCCACTCCCATCGTTTTGCCTGGAAGCTGAGGTCCCGTTCTGGGGGCCTTCTATCGGTTCTCTTCCTGCAAGAAGTGAGGTTACAGGGAACCAGGCAGAGGGCCTTCTTGGTGGTGGTGCCTGCCCTGTGGAACGCCCTCCCATCGGATGTCAAGGAAATAAACAAGTATCTGACTTTTAGAAGACATCTGAAGGCAGCCCCGTTTAGGGAAGTTTTTCATGTTTGATGTTTTATCGTGTTTTTAATGTTCCGTTGGGAGCTGCCCAGAGTGGCTGGGGAAACCCAGCCAGATGGACATCCTTAAACTATGGTACTCATTCCTCAGTTTGATGGTTTTAAAAGAGGGTTAGACAAATTCGTGGACAATTATGCTGTCAGCGGCTACTGGCACAATGGCTATGTTCTGTCTCCAGTGTCAGGGGCTTTATGCCTATGAGTACCAGTTGCTAGGAATCACAGGTGGGCAGAGTGCTGTTGTTGAGCTCATGTCCAGCTTGCAGGTTTCCCTCAAGCATCTGGTTGGAGCAGTATGGTGGTCTGGCTGGGCCACTGGCCTGTTCCAGCAGGCTTGCCTTGTCAAGCATCAAAAGACTGGGTGGAACTTCTGGAGTTTAGTCAATTTAATTGTGCCCTAAGATTCTTTTACTTGTGAAATTGTTTATTGCTAGACTGGGGTATCTGTGACCCTCTAGATGTTGCTAGGCTACACTCCCATTGCCCCTGACCACTGGCCATGCTGGCTGGGGCTGATGGGAATCGGAGTCCAACAACCTCTGGTTGCCTGGTTTAGTTTTTGTTTGATATGTTCCTGTGTATTTTGATGAACATACTGTTAATTGATGCAGATGTTATTTTCTAATGCTTTGTTCTTGCTTTGAGCTCAACTTTGTTTTCGGAAAAGCGGTATACACACGTTGAATCAAATCAGAGTGAAATGTTCGCTAATTGTAGCATGTGGTGAAATTTGCGTGTGTGTGTGAATCACACAGATTAAAGAGGAAGCAGAACTTTCTGTCTCTGCGTGTCAGCTGAGGCTTAGCCTATGAATACAGCAAAATGAAGTGATAAAGTCCTACACTGGCAGAGTGATCTGTACCATTTCAGACTGCGTGGCGAATGGAGAAAAAGCACAGAGCCTCGGTCCTAGATGACACTGATTGCTGCAATGGGTATCAAATAAATAAACTTCAGTCGCAATGTCTTGGTGAATTCTGATTAGATACTTTGTGTATGAAATATGATCTGTTCTACCTAGGACTTGGGGGAGAAATTTGACTTTGTTTGCCTTTTAATGAGAAACTACACAATTCACACTTTTCAAATTGACTTGTGATCTGAAACACACTTATCCTTCAGAGCTCAGTTCTCTGAATTTTGTGGTGCAGTTTTCAAGCAAACCTTGTGTATGAAAATGCACATAATTGGGTGGAAGATTTCCGAAAAGGCATATATTGCTTAAAATAACTATAATGTACATGCATTATATTAGAGAAATACAGAAAGTTTGTATTTTAGTCAAAACTGCATACAAAAAATGTGTTTATTAGGCAAAATTAGCACAATAGTGACCAATTGTCATAGGGATTTTTGTTTTGTGTTTTTTTAAAAAAAATCAAATTGCTGCAGAAATGTGGAGAACTGAATCTAATAGAGAAAAGATGAGGCACCTAGAAAAACAAAATAGATTAGCCCATCTCTACCACAATGGCTCTTGCAATGGGTGTCATACAGAACAATCCTTAGCTGCAATGTCTTTTGGTGAATTCTGGTTAGCTAGTGTGTATATGAAATAAGCTCTGTTCCATGTGAACTCCTATGCCACACAGCTGCTAATGGGGGCTTTTGCTGATTTTTGTTGTTTCTGGTGGGGGTTTTCACTACTAAAGCCTCTAACCTTTCTAAAAATTGTTTTCCCCACGACAGACTCTTTGGTTTGACCTGCATCAGCGACTGTCAGACAGTGAAAACACAGCTTGCACAGTGAGTACTCAAAAAAGTTCCTGTCTCTCTTCAGGAAATAAAATACATTTACATATGCAAATCACCAGAATGGGGAGGGGCGTTTGCCCCCACCCCTTCATCTTAGACCTCCATCTGCTGCAAATATGACTCGAAAGGTCATTTCTTCTTTATGCAAGCCAGGAGGAAGGCCTAATGAGCTTTCCCCTCCTGTGGAATCCTAGGTTGTCCAACACATGCTGTCCCCTCTTATATCAACATGAAACACCATCTCAGCCATATGGTCCATTCACTGTTTTTGCAACCCCTCGAGAAAGGAAGCAGGTCCCAACTTTCTTAAAACTGGAGGAGAGACTTGTTTACTTTAACAGAATTTGTACACCACTTAATTGTAAAAACCTTTAAGCTGTTAACATAAATAAAATTGTTGATAAAAATCAATAGTTAAAGAAAAAGTTCACCTAAAAAACTAAAAACAGATGAAATGAGCAGTTAAAAACGCACATTAAAAATAAAATTGCATGTTAAAATACATGTCATCTTCTCTAAACAAAAATGTTTCTAGCAGACACTGAAAACAGGACAGCAAAGGCCCAATGTCAATGGGCAGGGAGTTCCACAGGATAGGTGCTGCCACACTGAAAAATTGATTCTTTCCCGTGCAGAATGAATATTGAGTGACACTTGTAAAAGTGCCAGTTCTGCATATCAAAGTAGTTGAGTAGACACAGATGGGAGAAGGTGATCTTCAAAGTAAACTGGTCTCACCCTGTTAGGGGCTTTATAGACTAATAGCAAAACCTTTAACTTGGCCTGCTAACAAATTGGCAACCAGTGCAGATGTCATATGATCTCACTGCACATTTTTATGTGCAATTTCCCCTAGCATACATACCCATTATTGCAAAGCGTATTTCCACCACTATATGTTTTTTCCCCATGCCCACTTTACCTTGGTACCTGCATTGTTTTTGTACACATTACTTGGCTGGAGAACTGTATTGCAAAATTCAGAGGAGGGTGAATTTCCCAGGGTGGCTGTCTCTCAGCTCACATATTATTGCAGAAAGTGCCAGTGAGGTAGATTTGCCTGTAATATGAGAAATGAATCACATTTCTCCTCCGCATCTAGCAGTAGCCTGGTAAATAAATAAACATTAAGGCCAGTTTATAATACTGTGTTCTGGTTTGACTCTGCAGTTGCCAGCTCTAAAAGTCTGTGATTCTGTTATTGTAATTGTGAACACGCTATTAGTTGATCTAAAGATTTTTAATCATAAAAAGATAAGTCCCGCTGGATCAAGCCAAAACATCCTTTTATGACAATGGCCAGCCCAGCCTGCAAACATATGCAGGTGAAATCGCCAAATGGATGAGTCAGCTAAATATTGTAGCCTAGTGGCAAATATGCGTTTTGAAGCCTGCAGGAAATGCCTTTTGAAACCTCACAAACTATAGAGAGGTGGCTGGATCAGATCTAGGGCTTTGGCAGCTGGCCTCTGCTACAAGTAAAAACCCAGCTGAATTTTATAAAATGGTAAATACTGCGGAATCATTATTTCAACTTAAGAAAAAAGATGCTGTGATGGACAGCAGAGCCAGATGCCGTCCCCCTGAAATTCCACCAGAGTGCTGGAGCCTCTCTCTGATTTGCTATAAAGTCTGCTAGCCACAGAGGGGGAGGAACAGCACTTTGGGGAGGGGGAAGAATAAAAGGAGCAGTTTCTGAAGGGAGAGAGTTAGATAGGGCTGGATTTAAGATGAGAGATAGGGCTGGGTTTGAGAAGAGGAATAGGATTTGATTTGAGATGTTAGACAGGTTTCAGGTTGGGAGACAGGGAGAACTGGTTTGGAGTTGAGTTAAGCATCCACACTGAGGGGATTATGCATAGTGAGAGGACAGGGCCTCGCAGCTTGGATAGGGGCAGTGGCGTAGCGTGGGTTGTCAGCACCCGGGGCAAGGCAAGTAATTTGCACCCCCTAACCCGTGGATTTGCGCCCCCTAACCTGTGGATTTGCCCTAACCCCAGATGTTGCGCCCGGTGCGGCCGCCCCCCCCCCCGCACCCCCCACGCTACGCCACTGGATAGGGAGACCGGGTTGAGTGTCTGGAAGAAGGTATACAGACAGGAGTTTCTGGGAGGGATGTGACTGAACCGGGAGAGAGAGATCTTGTGGGAATACAGGCTACCTGGGTCTCAGTATAACCAGGAGGGGAGAGTTCTTCTGGGTACTGAAGGCTCCCAACCCAGTAACCAGGGATGTGGTGATCCCCTGGGTCTGTTATACCATTCAGAAGACCTCAGGTGTGGGATGGTTAAGAGAGTGAGTAACTAAGGAGAAGTGCCCCTTGCTCATGAGCCAAAGTATTAAGCTATGAAGGAAGAGGTATGGTGTTGAAAGTATTTAACTGTAATATCTAAGTGACAGAAACTAAGTTAGGCATTTTACCATCTATTCTGGAAACCTGAATATTTATCTACCAGACGTGTACCAACAGATTTTTACTAAGTTTAAGAAGAGTTGTGCCTATAATACTTTGTTTAAGCCTGAGGCATCTTATAGTTAGTTAAAGTAAATAAGTTAACTTCTACCTGAAAGGACACGTTTTCTTACCCACTTTGTTTCATAAACTTCTTTTCGTTTAATACAACTTTTCTTGTTTGTTTAATCATCTCCTGCCTGAGACTCTAAAACGTTAAGTTTTCCCTCACATACGTCCCCTGCTAGATAATCTGTGGTAAATTGTAGAAATTCGTGTAATTGGTGTACCGTGAGGTGAGTGCACTATCTTTAATTGGCGGCAGTTAGCAGGAGTGGATCTGCCACATTATTAATGGGTGGTATTAATCAGGCAGATTTTCAACTTGAGAAAAAAGATTCATTCTTGCTTTATTTGCAGACTGCGCAAAGATGCATTCATGTTTTTCTTTGACTCTCCTCCAAGCTGCTGAAGGGAAATGCTTTATAACTCAGGACTGGTTGACTCTGCAGAGCAAAGCAGAGCAGAGCAGTACAAATAAGAGACATGTTTGTCACACTTGGCTAAGCCTTGATTGCACGCTGAATGCATAAAATGCCTTGAAAATGCAACCTCTACCTGCCAGGGACTCCCCACTGATTCCTTGTGACAGGTCCCAGATGTGTTTGAAAAGATTAGCTCTGAGATCCTGTTTTTGTTGTTGTGTGAACTGAGCTGTTGCCTGGAGAATGTGCTGCCGTTGAAAGTCTTGTGCCAAAGATTTAAGCAAGTCCCTGTCCCTGATTCCCTCCAGACAATCTATTAATCAAGCATCCTGATTTGCTTGCACAAAGCTTATGCAGTGGTTAGATTATATCCAGTCTTCATTGAGCATTCATTCTGTTTGCAGGACAGTTACATGACATGAGGCATTCATCCTGATTTGCTTACAGGGTGTTTATATGTCTGCCTATTAGCCATTTGTTCTTCCTACGCTTTGAATCCATTCCACCATCGCATTCCAAATTGCAAAATGCCTGCTGCTTGCAAAAGTGGATTTGGCGCACTAGAGCAACTGAGCCCTTTAACCCACTTTACATGTGCAAATCTAAATTTCCCGTATGTGCAGAAATCCCTCCCGCAAAGTATAGACAGTTTGGACACCTATCACCCCTGCATACAAGCAGACATCTTAATACTCGTACACCTCTAGAACAAAATCTGCATGCGTATGGGCTAGAAGCAGATTCATAATGATGCTAGGCATCACTGAGCAGGAGATTTAACTCTCCTCTAGTTTTCTGGCACTTGATCAAATTAAGAACGTAAGAAGGGCCCCGCTGGATCCAGCAATGGCCCATGTAGTCCAGCATCCTGTTCTCGCAGTGGCTAACTGGGTGCCCCTGGACAACCTGCAAGCAGGACCTGAGCACAACAGCACTCTGCCCATATGGATTCCTGCACTGCAGGGGGTTGGACTAGATGACCCCTGGGGTCCCTTCCAACTCTTCAAATTCCCAGCAACTGGTGTTCAAAGGCATATTGCCTCTGACTGCAGAGGTGGAACATAGCCACTGTGGCTAGGAGCTGTTGATAGGCTTACCCTCCATTAATTTGTCTGACTTATAAATTATAATTTTTATTAATTTTCAAGATTAACGTAACAACAATCCTAAGAAATAAACAAGGGAAAAGGTAATAGAAATTTAGGGATTTGTTTTTTCTTCCCTAAATTAAGGCATTTGACTTTTCTAAACCTGAGCTGATATGTAGCTCAGTTCCAAGCTTCCCCTTGGTGAGGAATTTGCAGTGTGGGGGAAGGAGGAGGGAGGGCAAAAAGAAAACAGGCCTCCTTTTATTGCCTTCTATCTCCCCAGGCCCACCGTAACGTAGAACAAGGCAGCCGCCTGTGGCAGGTAGTGGACAGGGAGCCATGTGGTCAGATCTGTGTGTCGTATTGCAAGAGTCAGCTGCCAATCTGTTTCGCTTCTGTATGTGGAATGGGCGCCATTTTGTCTTTTGCCTCAGACAGCCATTTTGCCATTTTGTCTTTTGCCTCAGATAGTAAAATGTCTTGGGCCACATTTGCCTCTCCTTCACCCTGCGAGCCCTATCAAGGGCCCCACATTTCCTCCATATTAGCAAGCGATGTGGTTTCAAGCTGCATTCATTGTCAAGCTTTGCTGTTTGGTTCCAGCTGTGATCAAGGTTAACCTGGGTGATTGCTTTTCTAATCAAATCCAGCCACTTGTGATTAAAAAAGCAACTCGAGTATGAAAATAGGGCCTGAAAATAGCTTGCCTGCATTTGACAAGAGTGCCTTCGTATGGTATCTCATGGCGGGGGGGGGGGGCGTACTTTGACTTCGTAAGGGAAGATTCAAAATCCATCTACTTTCATCTTGCAAATGGGGATGGGGTATAGCTCTCTAATACAAGATGATGGCATTTGAAGAATGAGTTCTCATTTGCTCCACTTCATCACTGCTTGATGTTTGGAGGCAGTTGTTGTCAATGGAGGAGGAAGAAATCCTCTTTCCTATATTGCATAGTTTTTGAACATTTGGAATTTCAGAGCTAGTATGGTATTCGTGACCATTACCTGAGCCACCAGGATTCAAATTCCCCACAATGGTATGAAGCTTGCTTGGACCAGTCATTCTCTCTTAGGTAGTTGTTATTAACTTGAGTAACACAGATGGAGTCCAGAGATTAAAGAAAGTGATAATACTTTACTGGGTAAACTGAACAAGAACAGAGTATAACTTGAGGAGAAAGAAAGATAAAAGCATTTTACATAAAACAATATAAAATATCAATAAAACAAGTGACAAAATGCATTAAAATATAAAGTCAGCAATTTTAAAGCAAATCTGCATAATAAAATTACATGAGACAATGAGAACCCAGAATGTATCTCTCTTCTCTCTCCGTATATTCTCTCCCTCCTTTCATATTTATGTCACCGGTTTTCTTGCAAGATAGGTACCCAGTATGTCAAGACTTCTTGACAGTGGATGGCTCTTTATTCCAGAGGGAGGGGGCAGAAGGAGTGACAGGGTGGACTCGGGGGTTGAGTGATGGCAAATATGTTAACCGACAAATAGGGATGTTGAGGAATTCTAACAAAAATAGAAAAAGAAGCAGAAATCCCTGCAGTTTGCACGTTGTTTTCAGGAAAAGAAATCAGTTGAGCAAATACAATCAGTATTCGTTTACATCATTGTTGTGTTTTAAGCCTGCAAACAACACATAATTAATGATGTTTTCACATTCCCTTTACATTAAAGCGAATGTAGGTTATGTAAATGATTATGTATCTTATGTTAAATAACAGACAGTGAGATGTATTTCGCAGAAACTGAACTGCAGTGGCATGGAAGCATTGCTAATTGTGATGAATCTAGGTCAGAATGGAAATCACTTCCTCCTTACTTCCTTGCCCGCAACTCATTTGTATTGCAGGATGTAGTCACAGTGACACTACTTGGCACAAAGCTGCATGAGATGGACTCATTTGTCAGCTTTGATTATTCTCCATGTCCCAGGCATGCAGTGTAGAAGAGGAGGGCCCCAACCCTATTACCTGGGGTCTTGCTAGCTGGCTATGGAGACAGAGATAGCTGCAACAGAGACAGAACACTTCCTGTAGCAGGAAGTGAGCACTGTGGGTTGTATCCACTGCTAGCTAGACCCAGAGTGAACCCATTGAAATGAATGGATATGACTAATGTAGAACCATTTATTCAAATGGGTCTGTTCTACTTGGAATACAACCCTATGTACCAAATGGATGCTGGTGTGCAGCATTTGTATAGGACTTTCAGGCAATCAAACATTACAGAGTTGTTGTAAGGCTTACAACTAGATAAAGACAAGTCAAGACAGACAGCCGGTTCCTTAAAACTTTCTAGTGAGCTCAGAGCAAGGGGGGAGATATGAACCAAAGTCTTCCTGATTTGTAATTGTGGCCAAGGCTGCAATCCTAACCCCACTTACCTGGAAAAAAACACCACTGAATTCAGTGAGACTTACTCCTGTGTAAGCATAGCTAGGATTGCACTGTTAGTCTCTTATTCACTACTGTACCAGCTCTCCAAAGCAAAGTATATCAGTCAAAGTCAAGGTTCAACTACGTGAAGATTCACTTCACTTTGGTTTTCTTTCTCTCCCTCTCACTCTAGTATCTTCTTTTGGTACGAACTGAGATGACAGTTTCCCAGAAGCATCTGGGGGAGTTTTGTGGCTCCCTTAAGCAGTACTTGAAGACTGTGGCAGGAGAACGGGACTGCTTTCAGTAAGTGCCACTTCTGTTCTCCTGCAGGAATGTTGGATATGATGGGGCAAAGGGTGTGTGTGATTGACTCCGGTTCCCACAACCTCCTTTACCATGTCATTTCTTACAGATATCCTACTGGGATGGGATTGTGAGTGGAGCCCAATACTAGTTGTGATCGTGGGCCAATGCACTCCCATAAAATTTTATAAATAGATCCAATTAAAGAGTGGCTGTCACATTCTTTTCTTAATTTCACATTCTTGTAAGAGGCAGACAGTTCACAAGAATTGTTGTGGTTCATCAACCACAGAGATAATTGCTGAATAGTTTCTGTTTTCATGACAAGTGGGGGAGCACTAAGCAGGGATACACTCACGCTGTATCCCTTAACCACAAAGTTTTTTCAACTGCTGCCCACATTTCTCTCTTTCTCTCTCTCTTTGCAGTGTAACTGCAGTCAGGCTTCCTGATGGGGTCACTTTCATTGTCTACGAGTTCTGGGAGTCAGAGGATGACTGGAAGAGGTAAGGCAAGACATCAGGTAGACTCTTGGCAGCCATTTGGAATGCAACTACAAGGAAACTGACCAATGCAGCAAATCATTCATAAGCAGCAGCAGCCCACCAATGGCTGTTATTATTTTTTGCTGCACATATTTAAACTATGAAACTCAGTCATGGCCACTGGATGGTTTAAAAAGAGGATTAGACAAATTCATGAAGGAGAGGGCTATCAAAGGTTATGCTCTGCCTCCACAGGTGTGTGTGTGTGTGGTTTAACCTTGTACACGTGTGTATCCATCCTAGGAGGATGTAACATTTTTAGGCACTGGGGCCAATTTGGGAAGGAACTTTTCTGCATTAAATGAAATGTTCCTTTGGGATGAATTCCAGAAACAAAAAGGGTCTCATGATACACGGTGTCACTAAGGGGCCTCTCCCCCAAACCCTGGAGAAAGTTTTGCACTTTATAAATTGTTTCTATGTGTTTAAAAATCAATGAGGAAAAAGACTACAGCACAAACCAGTACAATGATTTAATTTTTAAGGCAGCCAGCGCAACGGCAGCAAAATGGGGGAAGCAAAGCTTGACAGCTTGAAGGAGCGCTTAGTGCATTGGTATCTAGTACAGCTGTCATTCAAAATGCAAAAGGCAGGAGGGGAGCTGCAGGAGGGGAGCTGCAGGGGTCCACTGCGGGCTCTCTTGGCTTTCACTTTTTAAAAACACGCACACATCTGCCTTAGATCTGTGCCAAAAGTCTCACCTGCATGATGACTCTCTTCAGTTCCCTGCAGAGCCTTCTGAACATGAAACTCCTTGGCCATCTGTTGGGATGGGCACCACTGCTCCCCTCACCCCCTGGCCTTGTGCCCTGCAGTTCATCATATCCTCCCACCTGAGCACAAGACTCTGAATGCGCTCATCACTGGTCAGCAGCAGAGCAAAGCTCTGTGGCACCAAAGGCAGCTGATCAGAGAGTGTGTCAGGGGAAAGAAGGAGATGAGCAAAGCTATAAAGGGAGCCCCCTCTTGGGGCACAGTACAGTCACAGAATTTTGAGAGCAGCAAAGGCACTTTGACTGCTTTGTGGACTTGTGCGTTTCTGCAACTCTGATGCAGACTCCCTATTTTTTTTAAAATAAAAACTGGCTCTGCAAGTATATAAGTTGCAGCAGTGATGGTACACCTGGAAAGAATGGATTGAATGGCTGGTGCCTAAATCCCCTCAGCACTTTTGCAATCTTAACCTCATGTAGGTGTAAGTCCAATTTCATCTCAGTGGGACTTACCTTCTGAGTAGAGGTGTGTAGGATTGCATGGTTTAAAATGTTTGCATGCTGCTGTTGTTCTTTTTAAAATAAAATAAAAATGAAACTTTTTCAAAATATAATTCTGCAACAGCAAGCAGCCTTCCTGAAGCATGCATGAGGGACTAGTTTGCCAACCTGTTAGTCAAAGGTTTGGTGCAAAAGAGCAGAAGAGGAGTCTGCTGGACCAGCCCAGCATCCTATTCTCACAGTGGCCAACCAGATGCCTGTGGGAAGCAGACCTAGAGTACAACAGCAGTCTTCCCACCTGTGATTCTCCATAACAGTTATTCTCTGAAAGTTTGGGTTGTGGCTAGTAGCCATTGATAACTTTATTCTCCATGAATTTGTCTAAACCTCTTTTAAAAAGCCACAAATTGGTGGCAATCACCACATCTAGTTGCAGCAAGTTCCATAGTTTAACCAGGCCCTGTCCTTGTGTCTATCTTGAATCTTCCAACATTCAGTTTAGCTGCATGGCCCATTTGGGTTCTAATATTAGGAAACAGGCAGACCTTTTAACATCACAGTAATCCAAGTTTATGCACCAACTACTGGTGCTGAAGAAACTGAAATTGACCAATTCTATGAAGACTTACAACACCTTATAGAAGTGACACCAAAGAAGGATGTTCTTCTCATTATAGGGGATTGGAATGCTAAAGTAGGGAGGCAAGAGATAAAAGGAACAACTGGCAAGTTTGGCCTTGGAGATCAAAACGAAGCAGGGCAAAGGCTAATAGAGTTCTGTCAAAAGAACAAGCTGGTCATCACAAACACGCTTTTCCAACAACACAAGAGACGACTCTACACATGGACATCACCAGATGGGCAGCATCGAAATCAGATTGATTATATTCTCTGCAGCCAAAGATGGAGAAGCTCTATACAGTCAGCAAAAACAAGACCTGGAGCTGACTGTGGCTCAGATCATCAGCTTCTTATAGCAAAATTCAAGCTTAAACTGAAGAAAGTAGGAAAAACCACTGGGCCGGTAAGATACAATCTAAGTCAAATCCCTTATGAATACACAGTGGAAGTGAGGAACAGGTTTAAGGATTTAGATTTGGTGGACAGAGTGCCTGAAGAACTATGGATGGAGGCTCGTAACATTGTACAGGAGGCAGCAACGAAAACCATCCCAATGAAAAGGAAATGCAAGAAAGCAAAGTGGCTGTCCAACGAGGCCTTACAAATAGCGGAGGAGAGAAGGCAAGCAAAATGCGAGGGAGATAGTGAAAGATACAGGAAATTGAATGCAGATTTCCAAAGAATAGCAAGGAGAGACAAGAAGGCCTTCTTAAACGAGCAATGCAAACAAATAGAGGAAAACAACAGAATGGGAAGAACCAGAGATCTGTTCAAGAAAATTGGAGATATGAAAGGAACATTTCGTACAAAGATTACCATAATAAAGGACAAAAGTGGTAAGGACCTAACAGAAGCAGAAGACATCAAGAAGAGGTGGCAAGAATACACAGAAGAATTATACCAGAAAGATATGGCTGTCTCGTACACCCCAGGTAGTGTGGTTGCTGACCTTGAGCCAGACATCCTGGAGAGTGAAGTCAAATGGGCCTTAGAAAGCACTGCAAATAACAAGGCCAGTGGAAGTGATGGTATTCCAGCTGAACTATTTAAAATTTTAAAAGATGATGCTGTTAAGGTGCTACACTCAATATGCCAGCAAATTTGGAAAACTCAGCAGTGGCCAGAAGATTGGAGAAGATCAGTCTACATCCCAATCCCAAAGAAGGGCAGTGCCAAAGAATGCTCCAACTACCGCACAATTGCACTCATCTCACACGCTAGCAAGGTTATGCTTAAAATTCTACAAGGAAGGCTCAAGCAGTATGTGGATCGAGAACTCCCAGAAGTGCAAGCTGGATTTAGAAGAGGCAGAGGAACCAGAGACCAAATTGCAAACATGCGCTGGATTATGGAGAAAGCTAGAGAGTTCCAGAAAGACATCTACTTCTGCTTCATTGACTATGCAAAAGCCTTTGACTGTGTCGACCACAGCAAACTATGGCAAGTTCTTAAAGAAATGGGAGTGCCTGATCACCTCATCTGTCTCCTGAGAAATCTCTATGTGGGACAAGAAGCTACAGTTAGAACTGGATATGGAACAACTGATTGGTTCAAAATTGGGAAAGGAGTACGACAAGGCTGTATTTTGTCTCCCTGCTTATTTAATTTATATGCAGAATACATCATGCGAAAGGCTGGGCTGGATGAATCCCAAGCTGGAATTAAGATTGCCGGAAGAAATATCAACAACCTCAGATATGCAGATGACACAACCTTGATGGCAGAAAGTGAGGAGGAATTAAAGAACCTTTTAATGAGGGTGAAAGAGGAGAGCGCAAAATATGGTCTGAAGCTCAACATCAAAAAAAACGAAGATCATGGCCACTGGTCCCATCACCTCCTGGCAAATAGAAGGGGAAGAAATGGAGGCAGTGAGAGATTTTACTTTCTTGGGCTCCATGATCACTGCAGATGGTGACAGCAGCCACGAAATTAAAAGACGCCTCCTTCTTGGGAGAAGGGCAATGACAGGCCTAGACAGCATCTTGAGAAGTAGAGACTGTTAGAGGACATTCGGCACAGAAACTTAAGAAGTTTCTGGGATTAATTGGCTGCAGGTGACCGTTGCTATAAAGGAAAAAGGCTGAGTTTTGTTGCTTGCCTGCAGGAATAACATCCACCAGAGTTTGTGTTTATTTGCTTAGTAATAAAGTCTTCGTTTTAGTTTGGGTTTTTACACCTATGTCTCCTGGAGTCACTCTGTCCTCTGCCACCGGCTGGAAATCCCCCTCCAACAGGTTATGGGCCCAGTCCCCAGTCCTGAGTGGGCAGAGACAGAGCGTGAAAAGAACCCAGAGACTGGAAGCAACTCAGCGTTTCTCAAGCAGCTGGCTGTGTGAAGGCATCGGCATGGAGTGTCTGTTTGGGACCAGGAGCCGAACATTTCTTCAAGCCACGTGTGAGTAAGGACTGAGTGGAAAGCTGAAAGCTGGGTGGTGCCATGGCTGGACTTGGAGCTGGAGCTCAAGGGGGAGCTTCCTATTTTCCAGTAGAGAAACTGGGAGAGTCCAATTATATGTCATGGAGTTTACAGATGCAGGCGTTTTTAAAGAAAGAACAATGTTGGACTGCTATTGTTAACCCTCCTGTAAAAGAGGAGGATGAAGAAGTAGATGAAGCAGACCAAAGGCTGGAGGACAAAGCCTATGCCAATTTAATTTTGAGTTTAGAGAAGTCTCAGTTATCTCATGTGCGAGACCTTGAAACAGCAAGTGAGATTTGGCAAGCACTGAGAGCAATACATATTAGAGACACTGCTGGCAGCAAAATTACTCTAACGAGAGCTCTGTACCGAGCCAGACTAAGTGAGGGTGAATGTGTTTCAACACACCTTCAAAGAATGCGTGATTTATTTTCACAGTTAAATGAACTTGGGGAACATTTTTCTGAACAGAGAAAAGTTTATATTGTGCTGTCTTCACTTCCTGAGTCATGGGACAATTTAGTGATGACTCTGGAAGCAATCCCAGAAAGCCAATTAACAATGCATTTCTTAACTGGGCGTTTGCTTGATGAGGAGGAAAGACGCCATGAGAGGAAGGCCACAACCCCTCACCGTAACTCCAGAAATGGGAGGCAGTCCAGTAAAAGATATGCAACTGATGAGGAGCGGCAATCTAAAGAGGTTGTAAACCACAGAGAGGAAGCAGCGTTCACAGTTAGAAGATGCTATCGTTGTGGGTCAACCAAGCATTTAGTACGACAGTGCACTGTGTCTGTGGGAGAAAATACAAGACAAGGGCGGCCTGCGTTTGCTGGGAAGCGAGGAAACAGGAAGAGTCGAGTCCAGTATGTTTCTGCAGCAGTTTGAGGCACCAGTTACGACGTTGGACAAGACTGGATTTTAGACTCAGCAGCGACAAACATTTTTGTTAAGTCTGCACAAACCCTTGTAGAAAAGCAGCCTTGTAAATCTGTAAATGTAGTACTAGCTGATGGAACAGTGCATGAGTCAGCTGGAAAGGGTAGTGTGAATATCAACTGTTTAAGTACCAAGTTTACCAATGTTTTATGTGTACCAAGTTTAGAAAATAATTTGCTTTCAGTTACAAGTCTTGTTAAGCAGGGATTTAAAGTAACCTTTTCTGGTTCAGGCTGTAGAATAGAGAAAGCTGGAAAAGTGGTTACAGCGTCACTGCAAAATGGTTTGTTTGTTTTGAAAGACCAGCTAGTGAGTGAGTCTGGGGCATGTGTTAAAGCCTGTAATAGAGCCTTGCATGATGAGTGCCAGCATCTGTGGCATCGTCGTTTGGGGCATGCCAATTTCCGCAGTATTGCAAAAATGCCAGAATTAAGCAAGGGAATTAAAATGAAAAAAATGTTCAGTTTTTCTAGACTGCAATACCTGCAAGGAGTCTAAAAGTAAGCGAGGGTCTTATCCTGAAAGTACTAGAATTAGCAAGAGGCCATTTGCTTTAGTACATTCAGACCTTTCTGGGCCATTTGCAGAGTCTGAAGGAGGAGCAAAGTTTTTTTTTGGTTCTTGTGGATGATTATAGCCGGTATACTTGGGTATATTTGTTAAAACACAAAAGTGAAACTGGTCAACTGATTAAGAATTGGGTCAACTATATAGAAAGGCAGTTTCCCTACAAAGTTACCCAGTTGCAAAGTGACCGTGGAGGCGAGTTCATGTCTGAAGCCCTCCAAGTTTGGTTGAAAAAGCGTGGTATTAGTCACCGTAAATCGTGTCCTTTTTCGCCTGAAGAAAATTCAGTTGCAGAACGCAAGATAAGATCTTTACAAACAATGCTAGATTCAATGCTATGTGATTCTGGCCTATCCAGGAAGTATTGGGGGGAAGGAATTCTGTGTGCTAACTACATACAGAACAGATTGTTTCATTCTACCATAAACAACACCCCTCATTTTTTGCTTTATGGAAAAAAACCCTTTTTGGACCATGTTAAAACTTTTGGTTGCTGGGCTTGGGTTCACATCCCAAAAGGACAGAGAAGGAAAGGAGAGCCCAAGGCAAAGAAACTTAGGTTTGTTGGCTATCAAACTTGGTCAAAGGGGTATCGTTTTGCACTAGGGCGTGGCAGAGTTGTAATATCAAGACATGCAGAGTTTTGTGAGCAAGATGGTTGGGTTCGTTTACATGGAAATTCAGAAGTTGTGTTATCTTCTGATGATACAGATAAATTTGTGAAATCTGAGGAAGAAAAGCCACAAATTAAAGAAAGTTCTGAAAGTGACAGTGATGAGGATTCAGGGGATGAGGATCCCAGTACACAATCTCCTAAAGCTGAACCAATTTCTCCTGAGCAGGATAAATCAGAAGGGGAAGATAGTTCAGAGGGGGAGAGTGTTCAAGTTAGAAGGTCACAAAGAAGCAATAAGGGGGTACCTCCAGAAAGGTTTACTATACAAGAAGCTAAAACTGTTGATGTGAAAAAGGAACCTCGTGATTATGAGGAAGTTTTAAAGTTACCACACCAGGAAATAGTAAGGTGGAAAAATGCAATGAAAGCAGAAATGAAATCTTTAGCAGAACACAATGTCTTTACCATTGAGCCATTGCCTGAAGGAAAAAAGGCAGTGGGCTGTAGATGGGTGTATAAAATAAAACACTTGGCAGATGGTGATGTTAAGTACAAAGCCAGACTGGTAGCACGAGGCTTTACTCAAAGAAAAGGTGAAAGCTTTGATGAAACCTTTTCTCCTACTGCAAGGAGTGAAAGTGTACGCTTATTGCTAGCTCTTGCAGCACAACGTGGGTTTAAGGTAAACCATTTTGATATTGAAACAGCTTATCTTAACGCAAATCTGCAAGAAGAAATTTTTATGAATCAAGCGCCAGGTTTTGAGGCAGGAGAACAGAATTCTGTATATAGGCTGAACAAAGCAATTTATGGGCTCAAACAGTCAGCTAGAAATTGGAACGAGTGTCTTGATAATGCTTTAAAAAATCTTGGCTTTAAAAGAAGCTTAGCTGATAACTGCTTGTACACTAAAGGAAAGGGTGATAAACAAGAATTGTGTTTGTGTTACGTTGATGATTTGCTTTACTCTACAAAAAGTGACAAGCAAGTGGAAAAAATTTGCAGAACAACTAAGAAAGGAATTTAAAGTAAGAGATTTGGGTCCAGTAAAAAATTATCTCGGTTTAGAAATTCAAAAAACATGCACGACTGGTAGCAAAGTTGGGAGTTGCTGTGTGTGATATGTAAATATGTTCTGTTCTGTTTAAAATACTATTGTTTCTGTTTGAACGAGAGGGGGTGTTAGAGGACATTCGGCACAGAAACATGTGTGTATACCTTTAAGAATTTTCTGGGATTAATTGGCTGCAGGTGACCGTTGCTATAAAGGAAAAAGGCTGAGTTTTGTTGCTTGCCTGCAGGAATAACATCCACCAGAGTTTGTGTTTATTTGCTTAGTAATAAAGTCTTCGTTTTAGTTTGGGTTTTTACACCTATGTCTCCTGGAGTCACTCTGTCCTCTGCCACCGGCTAGAAATCCCCCTCCAACAGAGACGTCACCTTGCCAACAAAGGTCCGTATAGTTAAAGCCATGGTTTTCCCAGTAGTGATGTATGGAAGTGAGAGCTGGACCATAAAGAAGGCTGATCGCCGAAGAATTGATGCTTTTGAATTATGGTGCTGGAGAAGACTCTTGAGAGTCCCATGGACTGCAAGAAGATCAAACGCATCCATTCTTAAGGAAATCAGCCCTGAGTGCTCACTGGAAGGACAGATCGTGAAGCTGAGGCTCCAGTACTTTGGCCACCTCATGAGAAGAGAAGACTCCCTGGAGAAGACACTGATGCTGGGAAAGATGGAGGGCACAAGGAGAAGGGGGCGACAGAGGAGGAGATGGTTGGATAGTGTTTTCGAGGTTACCAGCATGAGTCTGACCAAACTGCGGGAAGTAGTGGAGGACAGAGGTGCCTGGCGTGCTCTGGTCCATGGGGTCACGAAGAGTCGGACACGACTAAACGACAACAAAAATTAGGAAACAGAGGAAAAACTCCTCCACATATGACTTCACTCCATGCATAATCTTCCTTCCCCATTACTTGTCTTTTTTTCTAAACTAAAAGGCCCCAGTTGTTATAACACTCCCTCATAGAAGAGTTGCTTCAGCTTCTTGAGCATTTTGGTTACTTTTCCTTACTTCAGAAGGTCGGCGGTTCGAATCCCTGTGACGGGGTGAGCTCCCGTTCCTCAGTCCCTGCTCCTGCCAACCTAGCAGTTCGAAAGCACGTCAAAGTGCAAGTAGATAAATAGGTACCGCTTTGGCGGGAAGGTAAACGGTGTTTCCGTGCGCTGCTCTGGTTTTCCAGAAGTGGCTTAGTCATGCTGACCACATGACCCGGAAGCTGTACACCAGCTCCCTCGGCCAATAAAGCGAGATGAGCGCCGCAACCCCAGAGTCGGCCATGACTGGACCTAATGCTCAGGGGTCCCTTTACCTCTTTCCTGCCAGGTTCTGAAAGGGCTACAACTAAGACAAAGGAAGAGGGAAATGGTGGGCAATGGCACCCCCTAGACTGGTATCAAGTGAGCAGCCAGGCAGTGCCCCTTTTGCCCTACTAGAGTTGCCTCCACTGGTTAATGAACTGCACTGTACAAATCAACTACAGTGGCAAATAGTCCTTTCTTCCACAGTTCCTGTTGCACTACCAAAAAAAATACAATATCAGCCAGAGGGAGAGTCCCGCTCTCCCCACAGCAAAATAGGAAGGAGGTGGAGACAAGAACAAGTGTGTTAACAAGCCGCTTTCAAAACCTCCCAAGGCACTTCAAAAGATAAATCTTCTTCCCTTGGCGAAAGTATTAAAGAAATTCACATTCTCGCTAGCCAAACGTGACAGATATAAATTACCACTGAGTGGTTGGGAATTTTTTGTGCTAAAGCCACTGGTTTTTTCCACCAAGAAGCTCAGTTCTGTGACTTGTATAAGTTACACACATTAAATTTAAATAAATCAAATGCTTCTCTGTGGGGAAACATTTATGCTCAAACCAAATCCTCAGCCAGCTTGGGGTGGGGGGTTGGTGGGGTGTCGGGCTCCTCTCTCACAGGCTCAGCCCTTATTTCATTAGCTTATTGCTCAGGTAAACGTGAGACTGGCTCTAAAATAACAAGGCCACCTTCTCTCTTTCCTGCAGGCATCTCCAGAGTCCTGCTTGCAAAAGCTTCCAGCATGTGAAAGTGGATACGCTCACCCAGCCGGAAGCAGTGTCCAGTGTGTCAGTGCCAGGTACAGATCCAGAATGTGATATATAGGAGGGAGGAGAATGTACTGGGAGACAGTTCTGTGTCTGCAACTCAGAGCAGAATGCCGATTCAGGATGGGAGCTGTGTGTTGGGGGGGGGGGGACTAAGCTGCCTCCTTCTGGGTTGGGGTAAGAGCCACCCTTCTAAAGGGATCTTCCCTTTTAAAAACATGTAGCATGAAACTTTTTAGAACACAACATCACCAAGCCTTATTGGTGTTCCCATTCCTGTTGTTTTATCCCAACAGACTGTGATGCTAGCCTGATTCAGCTACTCTTAGGTTTCACGTTAAGTCAACATATGAAGGGGGACAGAAGGAATAAGCACACTCAATCTGCTCTATTCACATATGGACCCAGGGTTGCACATCACATGGGGAACCTACATGAGGACAGCAAGCTCCCCACTGCAGATGGTCAACCTCCTTCTCTTCTCTCCGAAAGGGAGGCAAGAACAGAGCTAGGAAGCCTCTCTCCAGTCATCCTTCGCCCCTCTTGTGTACGGGACCTAGAAAGCGGCCTTAGGTTTCCCCAAGCTCAGAATTGTCTACATTGACTTTGAACCTGGGACCTTTTGTATGCAAAGCAAAGGCTCTACCACTGAGCAGCTTGCCACGTGTGATGATATAACACAGCAGATGAACCCCTGAGTGGAGTTTCTGCCTTGCATTAAATGCCACAATCACCACTCCAAGCCAACCACCTGCTCAGGTTTTCAACACTGCAATGTAGCACCAGATCGCAGTGCTTGGCTGGTGGTACATTGCAGTGTTGAGGAACAAGCTGTGTTGGCCCTGTGAGGCGCTGGGAAGAAGAGGCAGCGGTGGAGACAGCCCTGTGGACAGAGCCTGTCAGGGCTCCCTCTCTACCCGAGCCTTGGTGGAACTGTTTAATGAAGCCCCCAACTCACCTCCGGGGGGGTGGCTTCGTTGAACTGCTCCATTGAGGCTCGGGCAACTGTGTGCCCCTCAGCAGAGCAGTTTAAAGAAGCCGCCTGCCCACACTGAAGGAGCAGCATTGCTCCAGGTACATTGCCAATGCAGGTTGTTCCTCCCTCTGCAAGGGCCAGAGAGAGAGAGGAGCAGCAGCAGTTTCACCCGAGTGAAGCCACCATCATGCTGTGGCCCTCATACTGGTCCTTGGCACAGGCCTGCCACTCACTAACACAAAGGTATGCCTTCTGTGAGTCAGATAAGGAAGGACGTATAAAAGAAAAAGTCCATTAACACAAGTAGAGTTTAGGGTTGGGTCCTTTTCTTTTTATATTTGTGACGAAACAAAACAAAACCTCTTTCCCCCCCCCCCTTTGCAGCTGCTTGGTGCACCCTCAACCAAGACTGATCAGGGAAGGCTGGCATTGTTCCCTCTTCACCAGGCACTCTTGGAAGTTTCCGCTGTTTTGCAGAGAACAAAACTCCTGTCTTTTCTAACGACTTTGTTAAGAGGTGTTGTCTTTCTCCCCTCCCCCCCTCCCCAAAACATTTCTACCTGGAACTGTTATTTACTTGCTTGCTATCTGAAGTGAAGGAAAAACAAAACAAGCCAAAACCAAAAGCCTAACTTCTGACCCTGCCAGGCACACATTTCCCCTTCGGAGCTCAAAGTTCTCTGCCATTGATTGCAGCCACCACCACTCTGCAAGGTACTGCTATCAGCAGTATACAACTGCTGTTAAAGGATGTTGATAAATTGAAAGTTTCTCCTGTATGCCACTTTCATGCATGGGCTGTGTTTTCAAACTAATGCCCCGTTCAGTAAATTGAACAGAAGGAAGCTGCTCTAGAAAAGCAGAGAGTATGGGGGGGGGGGGAAATTGCCAAAAGGGAAGAGGATGCCCATCGCTTCCCTTATTAACTGTTTACTTCCTGTGACCCTGACCGCCTGGTAGTTTCCCCCCTTAAGCCAGGCACATTATTATTCCTGAAGCCAAACGGGGGGAAAGGGGTGTGGGGAGAGTTCAGCAACTCCTGCAGAAATTACCCCACATGCACCTTACTGCTAGTTCTGCACTTGGCATGTGGGGAGGCAGAAATCAACCGGAGGTGAGAAAAATGGCCATTTCTGCAAAGGGATTCTCTCTGCCTCCCAGTACCACAGATCCAACACACCAGATTGTTCCCCACTAGCACACAGGCAGCAAACTAGTGACAATAGCATTTGTGGGGCCTTTGCACAAAGAAATGAAATATCTTTTCCTCCATGAAAAATCCAGAGGTTTGGGTTTTTTACCATGGGAAGATGCCTCAGACTGAGTCAGGCGTCAGCCTAGCTCAGCATTGCTTACACTGGCTGGCAGCAGCTTTCTGGGGTTTCAGGCAAGATTCATCCCCAGAATTATGTGGAAGGGATGGGGTTCCTTCTGCATGCCAAGCAGGTGTTCTACCACTGAGCTTCAGTTCTCCACACAAATACTTAGTCATATCACTAACCCAAACACTAAAATAGTCCAAATATGACAGCAATACCACTTCTGGAAAAAAGACAAACTGAAACCTACAGATTCTCTGATAAGGAAAAAAATAACCTCAGAAAAAAACTGCCTTGCACATAAATGTCCTTACCGACAGGGTTTCTGGATGGCAAAGGGAAAATGTTCTGGCATTTTCTCAGAAGATCCAGCTGGGCTGATGGAGCTGTAGTTCAGGACACCTGGAGGGTACCAGATTGGGGAAGGCGGGTCTCTATATAGCATAAGTAGCATCTGTTTTATAGCACTAATAGCCATCATGGCTTCCCACAGAATTTTGGGAACCATAGTGTGGTGGTGGTGCCAAGATTTATTCTGCCAGATGTTCTTGGCATAAGCCCACCCAAGACAAGCTAGCATATCCAGGGTGCAAGGAAATGATTGAAATACATATGGAAGACCCATAAAGTTCCCTTTCATTTCAGATTTTTCCCTATCCCCATCCTTTTGGTTTTCCCTCTGTTGCCTTCACTTTAATGCCAGTGCATGAATAATAAAAAAGCCTCAATGTACTTAGATTTATTTTTATTTTTAGCTGTAAGTAGCAGCACCGAGTTACTTCACTAACTTAAACATACTTCTTTTCTTTTTTCAAAGAACCATTTCTAACTGGGATTGAAGCAGGCAAAATTTAAATAAATAATAAAATCTTCAGGAAGCAAGCTTACCTATCTTCACTTTTGACTATAACCTTTGATAGTTTACATGTACCGTTTTAGAAATAAGATTATTATATAGCTCTAAAGTGTAGCACACTGCAGGATGTCAGTATTAGCCAACATATAAGCAATTTTACTATTATATACATCTATTATGCGCTATTGTATATGACTTAAGTGCAGATAACCAAATAAAATTTAAGAGATAAAAAATTGCATTCTGTGTAGAACCCTCATTGTTTTCACCTGCCCTTAAGACCACACGTCATTTCAGACTGGGGAGTCCATCTAGCCTATGCAACAGAGGGCAGTCCTCTGTTTGAAAGGCCAACTGATCCAAGACCTGTTTAAAGATAAAGAACCCTAAGATGGAAAAGGTGGGGGACCTCTGCAGTTTTCATCAACAGTCCACACCTGGGCAGGTCAGTCTTCCCCACTATGGTGAGGCAGGAAGAACCAGCTGCACAAATATAAGATGGGAACAGCTGAGTTGCCAGCAATATGTGTGAAAAGCATCTAGAAGTCTTAGTAGACCACAAGCTTAACATGAGTCAACAGTGTGATGCAGCAGGGGGGGGAAAGAAAAAAAAAGCTAATGCTATTCTAGGCTGCATCAACAAAAGTATAGTGTCCAGATCAAGGGAAGTAATAGTCTCGCTCTATTCTGCCTTGGTTAGACCACACCTGGAATACTGTGTCCAGCTCTGGGCACCATAATCTAAGGAGGCTATTGACAAGAGGAGGGCAACGGATCCTTATGAGGAACAAATATCTAAAGGGCTATCACATGAAAGATGGGGCAAGCTTGTTCTCCTGTTCCAGAGGGTAGGACCCAACACAATGGATTCAAGTTACAAGAAAGGAGATTCCAATGGTTAGCCATTGTGAGAACAGTTTGCTAGCTAAGATTGTCCTCTATCCAATCCAGCTAGTCTCTTCTAATGTTTTTAAGTATATATAGCATGGCAACAGTTGCCATGGTTTGCAGGGAGGAAAGCAAATGAGCCAACAAGGGAGAGGAACTCAGTATGGATGGGGTCTGTACTACAGAAGGAACAACAACTTTGGGCTCCAAGATGCATTGGCTGGCCCTGGTCCTGGACCCTGCTGCCCTCCAGGCAACCCAGCCATGTACATGGAGAAGGAAACCATGGTGACTTTTAATGCTCTACCCATCTGAAAGTGTGTAGCATAGTGAGAGAGAAATATATTAAGTGCCCCAAGCTTCGGGGGTGAGTTTTTAGATTCACATTTGAGATGCAAAGCCAGCCTTTGCTCCAATGGCACAATGTTTGGGATTCATCCTCAATTTCAGGCCTTTGTTGATTGGTGTTTGGCAAGACCAACCCTAACATTAAAAAGATACAAGTCTCCTTTGCCTGTAGAAGCAGAAGTTAGCAGTTCCTTTCTGCAGGATAAGACATCAAAGTCTAAAAGGGGCAGGAGTGCCTCTTCTAGACAGGTTTACACAAAATGGCCAATTTTTTACTTCAAAACTTCTGGTACCTGGTTTGGGCCAGGGTGGCAAAACCTGGACCATCTAAGGCAGTGGAGCCACTCGAAGGATCATGTACAAAACCAGCTCCCACAGCTGCCAACTATACTGCACTGACTCCACCCATGTCATCTTCCTTGGCTCAGCAACAAAGGACTCCTAAACATGTTCTGAGGTCTCTTGCAGCAGTGTATAAAATGGTGCAGCTCAACAACCTGGCATTCTAGCACCTATACATTGGTGATATATTTTAAGCATGCACACTAAGTGAAAACAATGCTCCTGACAGTTACTGAAAAATAAACAAATAGCAATCCCTGTTTCACACATCCACACAACTTTTGGATGCTATCTTAATAGATAAATTTCTTTCCCAGGGCCTTTAGGGGATGTGGGTTGGGGAAAACCCTAGAAATTCAAAGCCCTTTTAAGAACATTCCTAAGAGGAGGAGGAGTGAAATGGAGAGCAGAAGCGGCAGAATGTATTTTACGGAAAGCTTAATATTTTCTCAAGAGTCCTCTGTACTTCGCATACATCTAAGTAACTTTGTGCGACGAGCAGCTTTGGGAGAAATCCAACAGTTTTCTGTGGTTTGAAATATCAATGAAAATCCGCACTACAACAGACAACCAAGGAGCATTTGCTAGAGAAAACGATACCTATCCAACAGTCCGCAGGGGGAGAGGAGGGGGCATTCAATGTATGGAAAAGCACAACGAACACATACCTATATTAGATAGCGAAAAAGTGGCTATTATTGAAATTATGCCCAACTGGTAAAAGCTGCATAGTACTTGCCCATATCACTTGGAAATACCCATCAGGCTGTGCAAGTATCAAGACAGTCTCTGTTTGCCACCATCTGCTACCGTCACAACTGCCTCCACCGGTCGGCTAGACTTTGTATAACAGTTCCATGAGAGCGATCGTCGTGCTTTGTCCAAAGATGAAGGCTCCACAAAGGACGGTGACAATTCCCCATGTAATTAAGCAAGACCTGCCAAAGGGCGGGAGAGGAAAAAAATGCCAAGCTGTGTTACCTTTGTCACAGTCATAGAAATAACTGCCGGCAAAAAGCCAGTTATGATGGGCAGGCCACAGCAGGGCCTATGAATTTCAGGGAGTCCCGCATGGCACACAGTGCGTCAGCTTTGCTCTCCAATTCCCATCAGCCCCAACCAGCATCCCCAAAGATGGGAGCTAAAGTCTAAAGCTCTGCCGGGTGCAGACTGGGGATGCCTGCCCTTGGCCACAACCAGCTCATATTCATAGAATCATAGAATCATAGCAAGCAAAGGGAAGGCACAGACATACTTGGTCCTTGGCTTGATAGGCTCCATCTCCACTGCACACACCAAACACAGTCCTGCAACACAAGAGAAATCACTTTGCATTTGTTATCACTAATAATAATTGCAATCAATCATAATTATTAATAATTGAGAGTCAGTGTGATGAAGTGGGTCTGGGAGCCAGGAAGCTCTAACTGGTTGACCCTGGAGCATAACCTACCTCACAGGTAGGTTGTGGGAGGAGGATGGGGAGAACTGTGTGAGCTCCTTGGAAGAAAAGGTCGGATATAAATGCAATAAATACCTAAAATACTGTAGACTGCTCCGATCACTGTGCATTGAAGGGCAGAATAGAAATTATATAAAACAAAATGGATGTTTATTTTGCATTTAACCAAATTTCTATTTAACCAAATCCTCTTTATCTTCCGAATATTCCTCTCTAAGGCAGCTTAACCATGTCTGGTTCCCAGGGTTGCAAGTACGGAATGTGAAATTGACTGCTTTAACAACGCCATCTAGTCATTGCCAAATGCTCCTCAGCTTGATTTAGCGTATGGGTCAGCAAGATGGGCTATTTTCCAAAAACAGCAGCCAGTTCTCTCCCTCCAAAAAAAAAGAAAAAGAAAAAGAAAGCAGGGGCGAGTCAAATTCCAGAAATTCAGATCCCCCTCACAGCATCACTGACATGAGCAGTCATGAAGCATCTAGTTTCCAGCTTGTCTTTCCTAATGACTCATGAGACCTGGCAAACTACATTTCCCAGGCTCCTTGACATGGAGTTCAAATCTAAGCCAGATAAGAACTTCAGGAGCACTGCAAACTGAATGGAAAGTATTATAAGTTGAACAAGTCTGCATTCCCTTCAGATGTGAAGGAGATAAGTAACTGTACAACCTTGAGGAGACATCTGAAAGCAGCCCTGTATAGGGAAGTTGTTTAATGTTTTATTATATTTTCATGTAGGAAGCTGCTCAGAGTGGCAAAATTATATTATGATTATGATTATGATTATTCCAATACCAGGTAAACACAAACTTTTGCAACTTCACTTCTTCTCTTTCTTTTGAAGTACATGCTCACCCAAACTTCTAGTCCTTACTGCTGCCAATAAATTACTACAAATGCCAATTCCAAATGAAGCCACAGAAGAACTGAGAGGAAGGGAGGAGGGTCAGGGGGAGAAGAGGGCTCTAGTAGGAACTGCAGTGACCAAGACCTCATACATGACCACACCTTTCCTCCATGATTAGCAGAAGCAGTTTCCCATTATTATTATTATTTTTAAAGCTGGTGTGCAACGGTGTTTAGCTTGCTGTTTACATAAGCAGTCGAGTTTAGCTTCTTCTGGTAGAAAATCTGGGTCTTTGATCAGTTTCCTTCTCAAGTACAAAGCTCTGGTCAAAACCTTTCGTTGCGATAATCAAGGCACCAAAAAAGAAATCTCACTTGAAAAAGAAGTTTGCTTCTAGGAAGACTGCTTGATAATTAAATCCATCACTGAGGGCTTTGCCAGGAGGACAAGGAGGAGGCGGCAAAAAAGCAAAAACTTTCATCAACCCACAAACTTTTTCTAGATGATTAGGATTGGGAAGGAGAAAAATCAATTTCCCTGAGAAAAATGGAGGATAGCTGGCCAAGAGCAATGGTGACACCAATTCTTGGAGTCTCAGGTGAACAAGTGGGGAGTTTGCTGCTGCCTTCAAGACCTACTTGCAAGCTTTTCACCGAACTTCAGTTGGCCACGGTGAGAACAGGATGCCAGATGATGGACCTTTGGTCTGATCCAGCTTGCCTCTTTTTGGGGGGCTAAAAGATCAGCCATTGTTATGCAGATCCCTCACCCTCTCCTACCTCAGAGAGCACACAACGTGATCATACCTGGAAAAATGAAGATGAAAAATGCGCTGATGCCCCCAATGACACTGATGACGTCACTGATGTCCGGCACAAAGAGAGCAATGACCAGCGTGACCACAACCCAGGCAGTAGTGAGAGTGACCCGCATCCACTTCTCGTAAGGCTCAGTTGTCAGGAGGTAGCTGTGCTTGGAACTCAGGCAGACGTCCTGTAGGACTGACCTAGCATAAACATATGGGCAATTACACACAACAACAACAACAACAACAACAACAGGATTCTACTTTATGGAAGTGGCTGGTTCAGTTGGTAGAAGAGGGAGAACTTTCCCCAGATTGGAAAGGGCCATGGTTCAGTGGCAGAGCATCTGTTTGGGATGCAGAAGGTCCCAAGTTCAATCCCAAGCAACTCCAGGAAGTTTCCACCTGAAACCCTAGAAAACTGCTACCAGTCAGTGTAGACAATTCTGAGATTGATGGACTGTGCTGAGCCAAGTGAACCAAAAGTGTGACTCTACATAAGGCAGCCTAAGCCTAAGTTCTACAGGAATGCACCTCCAGACATAGAATTTAAGAGGGATAATACATATTTGGAACAATGGACATGGCAAGGGAGTTGAATGTTGATCTATATGTTCCATGAGTAACTTTTTTTCTTTGTTGTAACACATGGAAATAAGACTACATTTATAATCACAGGAGAGGAGATAGCATTTATTCTGGTGGATTGCTTTTGACATGTGCATTTTCTGTTTACCTCTAAGTTCTGTATCTCTTAGGTTCCACCTCTGACAGTGTAATCCTACATATATATCTACTCAGAAATTAGCCCCAATGAGTACAGTGGGACTTATTCCCAAGCCAAGTATATATAGGATATATAGGACTGAGGTTGCAATCCTAAACTGATTCGCCAGGGAGTAAATTCCATTAAATTCAGGAGGAATACCTTCCAAGTAGACATGGTTAGGATTGTGCAGTAATTTACTATATGTGTTTTTCTTTGGGAATAAGGGGTTGCTGTATTTATCAAAATGTAATTTGGTTCAAATGGGTGGGAGCAAGAAAAATGGGTGTGGTTTGAGGAGGAAAGGGAGGGGCCAAGCAGGCAGCCCTGAACTTTGGGCTCCGCAGAAGCAAGGAAGGATATAAAATGGAATAAAATACCATTAATTTAAGCCATAAATGGTTTTAGGTTGGATTTCATTCTAAAGCAGATATGCTGTATTATAAATATGGTTATGCTTGAGAAAAATGAGCCTGTTCCCAGAGGAAATCAGGCTATGCTTCTGACCAGAGGAGCGACACACAATGACAGTCCTCATTAAGCAGAACAGCATTTCCGTCAGGGTCAAAGCATAGGAAAAGCAACACTTCTGCTCCTTACCTTCCCAAGAGGAGGACAATGGGGTAGATGGTGATTATGGAGATGCCAAACAACAGCCGAGCTACAATGACCAGCACATCATTTCCTGGGTAGGACATCAGGATGTCAGCAGCAACATCAGCACCAAATGTCAAATAGCCATAGAGCCCTACACAGAGGAGCAGAGGATTGTGCTCTTTAGGTGTGGTAAGGAGAGCAAAATACACTGCAGACCATGCTGCACCCTCTCACCAACACACACACCCAACTCAAAAATGACTGAACCAGCAACCTTCATAGTAGGCTAACCTGGGCCCCTCCAGATGTTGCCCAAGTATGTCTCCTGCCACCCCTGACTATTGGGGCAGGTGAGAGTTGGAATCCCACAGCATCTGGAGGGCCACCTCTGCTGTGCAGCAAGGAGGAGGAAAAGATGGAGAGTAAGATTGATTGATTGATTTAAATTGCCGTATTTTTCGCTCTATAACACGCACCCGACCATAACACGCACATAGTTTTTAGAGGAGGAAAACAAGAAAAAAAATATTCTAAACGAAACAGTGGATGTATGATTTTTGTGGTTCATGCTGTGGCCACAGACATGTGATCTGATGGTGAGTTTGGAGTAGCCCAATGCAAAAATCCTGAGGATCCATGTGGATCCATGCTTTGTAACCATGTTTTAAGTGGGGAGGGAAGGAAAAGCACTCAAGGGACAAGGAGCATGCGTGGGGTGGGTGGAGAGGGATGCTGCTAATAATGAAGAAGAGGGGTATAAGGGGAAAAGGCTCCTCTCCTCTCCCGCTTTGCTCCTTTAAAGCAAGCAGGCTCTGCTTTTCTCCCTCCTCTCCGCTCATCCCCGGCTTAGGGAGCTGAAAAACTTTGCTGCTATTTAGCGAGCTGAGTGGGGAGGAGAGGGGGACAGAGAGCCTGCTTGCATTAAAGGAACCAACCGGACAGGAGCCGCTTACACTCGTGTAAGCGGCTCCTCTCCCCTCCCGCTTTGCTCCTTTAAAGAAGGAGGCTCTCTGTCCCTCTCTCCTCCCCAGTCAGCGGCTCTTCTCCCGCTTTGCTGTTTCAAAGCGAGCCACGGAGGAGGGAAGGAAGGGGAACCATGGATCCTCTGCTCACGACTGCAGCAGATCCCCACCACCACCACCTGTAGGCATTCCCTCCATAACACGCACAGACATTTCCCCTTACTTTCTAGGAGGGAAAAAGTGAGTGTTATGGTGCAAAAAATACGGTATTTATATGCTGCTTTTGGGCCCGAAAGCCCCCCCCAAAAAAAAACCACCCCAGAGAATGTGATGTTAATACAAAGGGGGGGGGGGAATACAGCAAAACCAAATCAATATGTCAAGCATAGAACCAAACGTAAAGAACAAACCATCTACAGGGTCATGCACCTGCCAGAAATTCCTAAGGGGAAGGGAAGTCATCTGTTGGACACTAATTTGTAAAGAAGCAGGAAGAAAGCAACTTATCTAAAGTAACACACTGGGGGGGGGGGAGAGAGAATCCTGCCCTCCCCCCTCAATGTTGTCACTCTTGGATCTCAATCGAAACAACCAATTGTGTATATCATGTGTTTGCTATTAGCCCTGTGATCTCTTGACTCTAGATTAATTTGCCCTTCCTTGCTGAAGGACCTGCAGGAAGCTGGAAGGTTCTGTGAGCCCCTTCACACAATAAGAGAACAGAGTTATGAGATTAGATAGATAGATAGATGATAGATAGATAGATAGATAGATAGATAGATAGATAGATAGATAGATGATAGATAGATAGATGATAGATAGATAGATGATAGATAGATGATAGATAGATAGATGATAGATAGATAGATAGATAGATAGATAGATAGATAGATAGATGATGATAGATAGATAGATAGATAGATAGATAGATAGATAGATAGATGATAGATAGATAGTGTTATGTACTGAGCTGAATCCTAGAACAATAGGATCCTGAATGCAGCAGTCTGATTGGTCCACAGGAGCCACCCAATCCAGCTCCTGGTAGAAGTGAATCAGTGACCTGATTGGTCTGCAGGAGCAGCCCGGAATTAGCCAATCACGCGGGGCCCATTGTGTAAATAATGTATATATAGCTAGACTTTTGGGGGAAGTTTCATTCATTGCTACTACAAGCTGAATAAAGAGCATGAAATTCACACTCGACTCCGAGTATATTTCACTGGTGACAAAGATGGGATCCCACTGAGCTGACCGCCACACACAGCACCGCAGCGCCGCCGCCTGCCACACCGCTGCATCGCAGCATGCAGATAGATAGATAGATAGATAGATAGATAGATAGATAGATAGATAGATAGAACTGCTTCAAGCAGTGGCGGAATGGAAAAAAAATTAAGCTAGCTCACCACAAGAGTCTCCAGAATTTCATCCCCAGGCAAAGTCCCTAGTCACAGCAGCAAGGACAGTCCAAAACAGGCAGACAGCAGAATCGATTCATTACACACACCAAAGAGGAACACCACAAAGCGCAACAATAAAGGCTGGACAGCCATCAGTTGAGATTCCTGTATTGCAGGGGGTTGGACTAGATGACCCTCAGGGTCCCTTCCAACTCTACAATTCTATGATTCAATTTGTAAGGGTCAGTATCATTGCAACCTGATGCATACTTTCCTGGGGGCAAGCTCCTTGGAACTCAGTGGTGCTTCAGACTGCCTAGGTTCCATACATTGAGCTTTGACTAAAGATCTTCAGGTGGCTAAAATGCAACCTTTAGCTTCTAATTAGAAATCCCTGAAATGTTATGAATAATAACAATTTTAAATGCTAGCACAAAGCAGGAACCCCATCCAAGACAAAAGAAAGTAGCCAGCCCTGGTAACTGGCCATTGCCCTCATTTTCCAACTTCTTCTGTGATAACCTGTCACAACCAAACTTGAAAGCTTCATCATCACCTTGTTCACTGGCCAGACTCAGGAAAATCTGTCCTTAAGCCTGGTGGTCCAGCAGACATCATTGTTCCTGCTCTGGAAAAAAAGCTTCCTTTCACCTATGGCCACTAAGGGCCCTAAACAAATTAAGAGCTTGGTACAAAATGGTACCAAGAGATTGAGCAAGTAGAAATGAGCTTGCTTACCTGTCAGAGAATATATAAGCAAACAGAACAGCATGGACATGACAGACACCACAATCCAGTGGGAGAGCTTCTTATTACTCATGCTGCTGTAGATGGTGATGCACGCTTCGTGACACTGAAACACAGAGCTGATGTTGGAAAAGGCTGGTACGCATTCTGCCTCCATTCCTGGAGTCCCAAAGCCATCACTGTCTGCCAGCCTTCTCCCCTGCTCCATATCAGAACTGTTGATCTCGCCTACACCTGAGGCAGTCTCCCACCTTAGGGGCCTTCCTAGAGTAATTGGTGTGGTGGATTAAGAATCCTCATGGGATTTGTTTGGTAAAATCCAAAGTTCCCATTGTCCACATAGACTGCTCCAGCTCAGAACCCATTGCGTTAAAGGGGGGGGGGCTATCAGATGTTTCTGGCCAATGTCCCACAATTGTCTCCTCCACTGATCAGCAGCGCTGTGCTTGGTTGTGATTTACACACCTCTTGTTTCAGGAAGTCAGGCAAAGGAGGACTCCCTTTTCTTTATTATATCAGAGGAGTTAAACTTGTATGTAGAATCATGCATCATTTCAAGTGGAAACAAATAAAAATGTCTTGGAAGCCTATTTTAACAACAGGAGAGGGAGGAAACCAAGAAAAGGTTAAACTTCTTACCTGAAATCCAAAGCAGATTGTTGGGATAACGCTGAACATTGAAGCCCAGGAAGAGACCCTGCAAATGTGAAAAAGGGTGTGTGTTAGCATCAGAGCTGGCCAACTCAGATGTCAACAGCCAACCAAGCAAGAGACCAGGAGCCTTACTCAGTACATATATGGCAGCTTCTTCTACTGAGTGAGGGCAGATTACAACCCCTACATGCCAATTCCTCCCCCAACACCACCTGTTGTTGTTGTAATAATTGGCATCCGACTGTCTCAAGAGCCAATGCAGTGTGCCTCTGAGGGTGAAGTTACACCGCCGTGTTAGCAGCACCGAAGTGACCTCCCCGTGGTGCAAGACTCCCCGCTTGGCCTCACAATGTGGACCAAAGGAAAGCAAAGCAATACGTTTGGCACCAGCTTGGCTGCAGAAGTTGCCAGAAGGAGCTGTACAAGGCAAGATTCAACCATCTTAGGGACTCCACTCCGGATTTGTGTAGGGTTTTTACTCCTTAGCCTCCCCCCCCCGCAAGGCAGCAGAGGTTTAAGATCAGTGTTTTCCTTCTCCTAGAGGTTGATGAGCCCCATCTGCCCTTTACTGTACTACTCAAGATCTCAGTGAGTCCCATGACATCAGACCCTTTGTCCATCTGGACTAGTGTTGCCTCCAATGACTGGCAGCAGCTCTCTGAGTCCAGACAGGGGACTTGCCCAGCCTATGACCCAGGGGCACTGTGACACAGCTAGGGAGTGTGCAACATTTGCCCACCTTTTGGTGCTTATATTCTTGGCAGGTGAGACTGGTTGCCTCTGCTGTATTCCTGCATTTTGTTCTGCTAGCGGTTATTACAGTCTCCATGTGCTGGTGACTCTAAGTTTGTATTGATGCTGAAGTGGATCTAACTGTGACAGACTCCCCCCACAACAAAGATGCAATGTGATGGGTTTTAGGTGTTTAAAATTAGATACTCCCTGCCAGCAACACTTGGGAGGTTAGAGATTCTCTGCATGTGGCAGCATTTACTAATATTCAGCAGCAAGGACTTTAACATCAATTAAAGGGAAACCTGTGATCACTTATCCCTTAAACTGGTAATAAATTAAGGATGAGACACGTTGGAAACAAAACAAGTTTTATTTATGCACACTCAATGAGGGTTAACGCTTAGTGGTTACTCTGATCAGGCACAAATCTCTTTTACAGAAGCAATAAGGAACTTTACTTACGACTTCCACATCAAATCTGTTTCTAAATAAACTGATTCCTCTTAGATCTATTAATCCAGTGAAACACGTCTAGGCTCTTTCTGGGATCTCTTCATTCTCTTGAAGGAAGCTATCTGGTTTGCCCTGCCTAGCAAACTCCTAACCACCCAGCTAATATCTTAGCCAAGCCCTTGCCAAGTCCAATCCAAGCCCAGTCTGAACACTTTCCAAGTCCTAACTGCTAAACTAGCAGGTTCTAGATTTTAACTTCCCACTCTCCCCTGATTGCTGGAAACTCCACCCAGCACTGATTGGTTGCAAGGTGCTGGGGATGATCCAATGTCCACGTGCCACACTTTCCTAGTTGTAAGCATTGTATTTTTTTGGTATTTTTTGTGATGTTGTTATTATAATGCAGCAAAACACTTAGAGACTTATTTGCAGTATGAAGAAGTACAGAAACTACCAACAGAAATGCATAAATTTACTGCTGTATTTTTTCATTACCCCAGAAGTGGGGCAGAGATATGCTTTGTTGGGGGTTCTCTGCCCCACATGCAAAAATAATGTGTCTTGCCTTGGACCCTCTGCACCTTGACTTCACGTGGAGCAGGGCACCATCTGCTACTCTGCCTCATGGAGAAAAATGTCTGCAGATACCCCCAACTCTGCAGATAATTAAGCAGTAGAAGGCAGACCCCTTCTGCATCAAGCATACGTCACTACTGGTTGTAGCCAACACGGCCATTCAGCTTGCACAACATAACTTCACCCTGCTCTCCTCGGCATTTGATCCTGCACCCTCAAAATCAGCTCCAGAAGCTTGCAGACCAGAGCAGAGCAGATTTTGGGTGCATTCAGGGAGAGAAGAAGAAGGCAAAGTCGCCTTGCTGAAGTGGAACTCCACATGTGCAGCACTGAATGAAACCCTATCGCTCTTGGGTACCGATTCAGTTATAACAATGTCATCTGCTGCAGGTAACTGGTGTGTGTGTGTGTGTGCGCGTGCGCGCAAGTGAGAGAGAATGAGAATCTATTTTACACACTTCAGAGATATTGACATGGGCCATGTGCATAGGAGAATCAACAGCCAAGCTCCCTTGAGACTCTTAAGAGGTAAACAACTTCCTGCATTGCAGGAACTGGGTGGCCCTTGAGGTGCCTCCAAATCTATAATTCTATGAACTGAATTATGGCAGGTTCCAACATGACAGCATCTCAGTGGCACCTCCATGTAAGCCGATGGGGTGGATGAATCATGCCCATGAGACCGATGTTTGATAATTCCACTACCAGCCCAACAGCCAGCCACGCCAACACTTACCCGGAGGAACGGCGATGTTCATGCTTGACAACGTAATCGGTTCTGAGGTAGTATTTTATTACAATGACAAGCATCAGGTAGCAGGCTGCCAAAGTACCAAGGATGCTGGAACACACAAAGGGAAAAATTAAAAGACTTTGCCTCAAAGGAGCTCAATGCTCCCCTGCATTCAAAAGGGCACCGTATGGTATTTTACAGTAGGGATGTGGCAAATAGAAGCAAAAACAGCAAGACTGCATCCGGGATAGAGATTCTAATTAGACGTTCCAGCAAATGAAAAGCTTTTATCCTATGAACTAGAAGATGCTTACGCTGCCTGGGAAGGACATTCTACAAACAGGAGTCACCACTGGAAAGGTTCCTCACCTTGGTAACCACACACCTCAATTCTGATGCTGGGGACACCTGTAGGTACACCTTATGACGTGCCTTAAAACAGGGTAGGGCAGCCATAGCTCAGTGGTAGAGCATCTGCCTTGCAGTGGGGAAGGTCACAGGTTCAATCCCCAGCATTTCCAGGTAGTTGGAGAGCCAACACCAGTCACTGCAGACAGTGCTGAGCTAGATGGACCAAGGGTCTGACTCTGCATAAGGCAGCTTGCTATGTTCCTAATGGTGAGGAACCAATGGCTCTCCAGACCTTGTTGGATTACATTTTCCTATCATGATAGCTGAGGCTGCTAGGGGTCAAATAAAATTATTGTTTAAAATGAGTTCCAAACAACTTAATATTTTAAAAAAATCCTAAGTGGTGTACAAGCAATGCAGATCAGCACAAAGGCATATATATATATATATATATATATATATATATATATAACAAGAATCCAGTGATACAGGGTATCTATCTGTGCAAAAGGATAGGTCTTTACAAGACATCTGAAGCACATAATTGATAATGGTTCACATACAGTATCTAGTTGGTCAGAGTGTTGGGCCAGGACCTGGGAGACCAGAGTTCACATCCCCACACAGCCGGGCGGTATTACGTGATTCATCACATGATATATCACATGACTGCGCCCCATCAATGTGGGGGGGGGGTCGGCGCCCCTGCTGAGCCCTTGGGAGCAAGTTTGGTCACCATTTGGCCCAGTCTCCAGGCCACAGAGAGCACAAAAACAAGAACAGAGCTCTTACCTTGTGTATTTCTGGAATCCAATTTCCCTTGGAATTGAGAGGGGGAAAATAACCAAGGCACACAAAGCAGACAAGGTGAAGCGATGGTCTGTGAACCAATGCTGACGAGAGATGCCACCACTCAAGGTTTCATTAGGGTAGAAAGAATCACACACTGGGGAGAAAGGGAACATAAGGAGGCAATGAGGCTTTCCTCGTTGTCTGGCTACCAGCTGAGGCGTATTATGCAGCTACCAACAGTGGGCTGGGGGACTTCTCCATGGCGGTGCCATGTCTGTGGAATTCCTCAGGGGTGACTGGTGCCCATCAGGGCTGGTGGGATAGAAGGCAGGGAGTCCCAGAAGTAAGTAGGTGGAGCCAGAACTAATGACATGCAAAAGCAACTAATTCAAGCTCTGCCTCCATCCACCTCCCTGCCGAGCTCTACAAGGGCAAGACTGAAACTAAGGGGGAGGAAGCTGGCAGGCAGGGCCATGCCCTGGACTCCTTTTAAGTAAGGAAGCAGGCAGGTGGGGGTTTGCGGAGAGCAGGCTGAAGTTGGTGGGGCAGCACTCTATTTTTCCTAATGGATTCCACTGGAATTCCCTCCCCTCTGGAGTAAGTCAGGCCCCTGACTGATGAGTTTTCAGCACCAGCTTAAAACTTACCTGCTCACTCAGACACTTGCTGGCTATTAATTCATAGGCTAAGGGACGCGGGTGGCACTGTGGGTTAAACCACAGAGCCTAGGACTTGCCAATCAGAAGGTCAGTAGTTTGAATCCCTGAGATGGAGTGAGCTCCCGTTGCTCGGTCCCTGCTCCTGCCAACCTAGCAGTTCGAAAGTATGTCAAAGTGCATGTAGATAAATAGGTACCACTCCAGCGAAAAAGTAAACGGCATTTCTGTGCACTGCTCTGGTTTGCCAGAAGTAGTTTAGTCATGCTGGCCACATGACCTCAAAGCTGTACGCCGGCTTCCTCGGCCAGTAAAGCGAGATGAGAGCCGCAACCCCAGAGTCGGCCACGACTGGACCTAATGGTCAGGGGTCCCTTTACCTTTAATTTTACTTCATAGGCTTGGTATGCTGCATTTATGGCTTCCAGTGATTTTATCATATATTAATATGCCGATTGTGTTGTCATTAATTATGCACACAAACGGCACTGGTATTATTTACACAAAGAGCCACATAAAAAATATTATTAAAGGAGGAACAGCTGGGGATTTTAGAGGATGCTGAAAGGGTTCTGGGGGGGGGGGTAAGAATGTATAATTTGCTGCTGAAATGGAACACACAAGATGAAACAGTAAAGTCAGCTATGATTAAATGGGCACAAGATATAGGCCATAACATTATGTTTGAAGACTGGGAAAGGTTGTGGAATACTGGTATCAGGTTTACGGCCTGTAACGTTTTGAGAGAAAATATAATGAAAATGATCTATAGATGGTATATGACCCCAGTCAAACTTGCAAAAATTTACCACTTGCCCAATAACAAATGTTGGAAATGTAATGAAAGTGAAGGTACCTTTTATCACCTTTGGTGGACCTGCCCGAGGATTAAGGCCTACTGGGAAATGATCTATAATGAAATTAAAAAGGTCCTTAAATGGACATTTCCTAAAAAGCCAGAGGCTTTTCTCCTGGGCATGGTGGGCCAATTGGTGTCAAAGAAGGACAGAACTTTTTTATGTATGCTACCACAGCAGCAAGGATTCTTCTGGCAAAGTATTGGAAGACGCAGCAGCTACCTACTCTGGAAGAATGGCAAGTGAAGGTGATTGACTACATGGGAATGGCTGAGATGACCGGCAGAATCCGTGACCAGGGGAAGGAGACAGTGGAAGAAGACTGGAAGAAATTTAAAGTATACCTTAAAAACTGTTGTAAAATTCAAGAGTGTTGAGATGTTATGGTGTTAAGAAATAGAGAATTGCAGCTGTATATCATAAATTTAAAGGAGACATAATGAAGATGAATTAACAATGAAATGAAGGGTTGCTGTTAAAAGGAGAAAACAAGGATGCAGAAAAAGGGAGGTATGGGGAAGTCCGGGAAATAAGGTGAAGGAGAATGAGTTTATGAAATTGTATATGTTTACTTGTTTGTATGTTTTGTTGTGTTTTGTTGTTTGTTTATAATATATGTTTGGAAAACTAATAAAAAATTTTTAAAAAAAAAAGAAAGGGTTCTGGGGTCAAAGAACTCACATTTTTCTAGCTGGTCTCCCACGACTCTAAGAAAGGCCACCGAGATCATGAACAGGTTCAGAATGAAGCAGACTTCGCAAAGCTTCCCAATGGCAGCCCCACAGATCTCTCTCACCACACCCTGGTACGTTGTCTGGGTGCTGATGGAGGCAGCATAACCCAGAATCACCAAGCCGCTAATCAGGAATATCAAGGAACCCTGCCAAAGGGAGAAACACCCAGAGACAAAGAGGAGAGAGCAGTGAGCCTATAGAGGAGTAACAGGAGTAGCCATGATCAGGGTGAGCTCAACTAAGCAGGCAAATTAGGCAACCTTCCTAGAATTAGATGCTACCAGTGCCCACTAGCCACCATGCCCCTGTGCAACCTCCAGCGTGGGAGGCAGTGTGCCTCAGCATGCCAGTTGCCAGAATACCAACCTGGTGCCCTCCAGGTATTTTGGGCATGCTGGTTGGGGCTGATGGGAGTTGTAGTCCAATGCATCTGGGGGAGGCTGGCCTAACATAGCAAGACGAAGCAAATGCCTGACATGGGTTTGTTTGCAACAGGACCATGAAGGTCAGAGATTAAGCCAGGGGTGATAAGAGGTACGTGTTTATAGAAAGATAAACCAAAATAAGCAATGACCCGGAGTGATCCAGCAACATCATCATTTCATGGCCTCTGCAAACACTTACGTGTCCTTTCAAATCCATGGAGCTGGAGCACACCAGAGAGGGTTAGGAAAGGACAAATCCCTACAGTTCAGTCTCTCATGCCAGATTTCTAAATCAGTTTGCTGATTCATTTTACTTTTTACTCACAAATTATCAGCATTTTAGTGTGCATTTCTTCTAACATAGACATTTATGCAAGCAATATTCCCTAATAAAGAGTGTTTTTGTCTGTTATATTCAGTAGTATATTGGAGAAACTCAGCCAGATGGGTGGGGTATAAATAATAAATTGTTATAAATTATTATTATAATACACTTCCTTCACCCTGCGCGCACACACATGGAGAAGATCATTGCTAAATTAAAAGATGTGCAAGTTTTGAAGCAGAAATGTAGTTTTGCAGGACAGGAACCCAACCAACTATTTTAGATTTTATTATTATTACTGTTACTGAATTTATACCCCACCTTTCTAGAAAAATACACAAGGTAGCTTATATACACAACTGACACAGTAAAGAATAAGGTCAACGTACAACCTGAAAATGAAACAAAATGCAACCTAATATTAAAAAAAACCAAAGTAAGAAGCAAAATTAACAGCAGTTAAAACAAACAAGCAGCAGTTCCAAAAGTAGATCACTCAATGGAAGTTGGGAAGCCACATCCCTAGAGAGGCTAGATACCAGCAAGGCAAGCAGAAACTGTCACACTAATTCAGAAATGTTGCACATCCAGACCGCAGTCCCAAGTCCTCCGAATAACATGGGATTGCCATTGCCCTGCTTGTTGGCTTTTCAGAGAAATTTGGCAATTGTCAGAACAAACGGTGGACTAGATGGGTTTTTTACCTGATACAGCAAGGTTTTTCTGACATTGTCAAAACACATGCGAGAGCAGGAGAAAGGATTTTGCTCGCTTAAGAAGCAGCTATAATGGAAGACACAGGTGATAAGTGAAAGAAAGAGCTTGTGGATGCCATCAACATCTCAAGTAGGGAGAGCCTCAGAGAACCCGACCATTGGTGCTAGCCCAGACATAGACTCACTAGCCAAGCTGTCTTCTCTTGGTCCCAGCAGCAAAGCAGAAGTCCAAGTCTAAAATGAGGAAGAAATGTGGCAAACAGTGCGCAAACAAAAAAAAACAGCTCTTTCAAAAATTTGCACTCCTCCGAATTCTGTGATGCAGTACTCTAACCAAGGCAATGCATACAAAAATGCATTGTATTAGGAAGAACTGCTTGCAAAAATGAATGTATTAGGAGAAACATGTGCTAAAATGTTAAGAAATGCACAAACCCGAGCAGAAATGTAGAAAACCGAACTTAAGATTGGAAAAAGGAAAAAGGAGAAACAGAGGGGAACTGGCATTGACAAAATCATTCATCCCTGTCACAGCATATTTTGGAGTGCTAAAATCCATTAGTTGCACCAGATACTATAATAAGTTTGCGTTTAATAAGAAATAGAGTCAAGTACTAAATACCGGTAGTTCTTTCTCCATCGCAATGCAAGACTCGGCTTGCAGCAGCCCCAAATCATACTGCAAATTCAGGGCTTGCTTTGTGCCAGTGATCACCAAAGAGAGTCCGTGAGGGTTGAACTAGGACTAGGAAAACCCAGGTTCCAAGACAATGCTCACCCTTGAAGGTTACAGCATAACCTTGAGTCACTCTCTCCCTTACCTCAACCTCCCTCACAGGGTTGTTGTGAAGATAAAATGCAGAGCAGGAAGCCATGTACAATGCTCTGTGTTCCTTGGGGGGAAGTGGGACATAAATGAAAATAATAAATAAAGCTCATTTCCAGAATTCTGTTCCGGTTCCTTTTTTTCAATTCTGTAATGTAGGAATCAAAACTAGGAAACTGTTTTCCTGCCCCACTCCCCACAAAAAAGAGTACTGCGTGTATTTGCAGAAACCACTAGAAAATCATCTGCACATCAGGAATTGGGGAGAAATCCTGTTCAATTCAAGTATGGGTGAAAACCAACCTGATTCCCACTTTCAAAAACAGCAAGTGAACCAAAACACAGCGTTGCTCCCAAATTCATGCTACTCTGAATGTTGTGATGCAAGTTCTCCAACTAAATAAAGTGAGGTGGGGAATGTGCATTTGAGGGAGGAGCGTGAAAAATAATCCACATATCAGGGAAAACAACATGCAAAAATGCATAATATTCAGGAAATTTGTTTGCAAAAATGTATCAGGCACAATCACATACAAAAATATGCTGGCAAATTTTCACGAAGACTTAAAAAAAAAGGTATGTGCAAACTGCTGCAGAAATGGGGTGTCCTGAACTTATGAGTGGAAAAAACAGGAAACTGAAATTAATAGATTTCCCCATCCCTATCCACACACCATAGCTGGGAGGGGAGCCTTGCAAAGCAAAAGAAGGCAGTACTAGGTAGATTAGAAGTAAAATAAACTATTAAAAATGCAATGAGGCTTGCTTCCAAATCCCCTTGGCTAGGTCCAGAACCTCAAACCCTCCACCCACCTACCTATTCCAGCAGCCTGTCACTCTGCAAGAGATCTGGATGTCTTTCCTTTGGCACTTACCAGCTCCACAAGGACAGCCGGGGTGACTCCTCCAGCCTTATTGAATGCCCAGGGGAAATTCAAGAGCCCTGCTCCAAGGGCAGATTTCAGCATGATAAAGACAGCCCCAGCGGAGGAGAGATTGGGGCTACCTGACTCCAGAGTAGGCTTGGCTAACAGAGTGATGCTCTCTCTAGCCAACTCCTCCATATCTGAAAGAGAAGGAGGACCAGGGAGTGGTGGGGTTAGTCTCTCAAAGCTGGGCAAATCCAAGCTGACTTGCAACAGGTAACAGATTCCTCCGCTGATCTTTGGTGGGATCAATCCATTTATTTTTATTTTTTTTGCTTTGTAAACTGACTAAATTTCAGAAGCATTAAGAGGAAGTAAGGAATAGAGTGCAAGTTTCCTGCCTCCCCCCCCCCCCATGCAATCTTGGACTGAAGGAATGGCATGCGTTGTATATCAATGTTAAAAATGAGCCAAGCAGTGCTCAGGGCTATGTTTTCTTCCAGTGGCTGCTTAATGGAATTAGCAGGGCACCAAGAAAGTAGCAACGACGCTTGAGATTCTGCAGGGAGATGTTTTGCAAACAGAGTCCAACATAAGCAGTTGAAGGAGCAAGGAAGACTAGGACAGACATGTGCAACAGAGCAATGCAATGCCCTTGATTCACTGTGAAATTGTAAGCACAGCTCGCAAATGCTCAGGGACACCTCCAGTTACAAACAAATTATGTAGCTAGTCTTTCATGAGCTTTACAATGTAACTGTTATAGGTACAGCCAGGTTTCCGGTCCCCCCCCCTTTTACAACCAAAAGGCTTTGTCAATTAATAGCCACACCCTCAAGGGGAATCCAGAAATGCAGGCAGCTGCATCAGTCAATTATTTATATGCATGCCCAGAGCAGCACTACAGTGGTACCTCAGGTTAAGAACTTAATTCGTTCGAGAGGTCCGTTCTTAACCTGAAACTGTTCTTAACCTGAAGCATCATTTTAGCTAATGGGGCCTCCCACTGCTGCCACACAATTTCTGTTCTCATCCTGAAGCAAAGTTCTTAACCTGAGGTACTATTAACCTGAGATGAGCGCCGCAACCCCAGAGTCGGTCACGACTGGACCTAATGGTCAGGGGTCCCTTTACCTTTACCTTACATAGAAAAAAACAACCCACCATATCTTTCTGGAAGACAGACTTAATGCAAAATAAACCAACTGCAAGAGAATGGAAAAAATAAGACGGAAGAGCAAGTGAATGTTGGAAGAGGCTGAGGCGCGTTTGTACATCCCTGATCTGGGCTGTATCACTTAGGCTTTGCTACTGCAAGTGGAAGGAGGGCTCACAGGGCACATGGAAAAATAAAATTCTACACAACTAGAAAACTGGCAGATCTGGTAAATGGCTAGGCCAAAACTCTTTTGTCCCTGTTGTACAAATGAAAAGGGATTATTTCATTCCACTACTCTATGCTTCCTCGTAAAGCAGATATTGCCATGATTTCCACATCCTCCCTATTCAAATATTTATTTCATTTATTTAGATGGTTTATTTGCCACCGTTTGCACAAGGCACAGAACCACTTACAACATGGCAGCCATTCAAAGGCATCTTGCAATTATGCATAGGGTCCATTGTGTACTATATTACAATAAAAACTAAAAGCTGTATTCAACCAACTTTTACTCTGAGTAGACCCATTAAAATTATTGACCATGACAGAAATTAATGGGCCTAAGTTAGTCATGACCATTCATTTCAATGGGTCTACTCAGATACAACTCAAAAGTTTAAACCAAATCATAATAAAACAAGGTAACAGCATATATCTCGAAGGAGGAACTGGCAGTAATTCCACATTAATTTCATCTAGAATAAAAACAAACATGTTTTTGTCACAACTAAAGCAGCTTCTTCTCTTGAAGAGCATTTATCAACAGCTCAACCATCTTAATTCATTCTTCTATTTTCCAACCATGTGACCTTTTGATCTTGGTAAGCAGGATAAAGAGACTTTAATCAGCTGCTATAAGGAATTATTAATGGCTAATTGTGTCTGTCATCCCAATTATATATTTGCAACCTAAGGTGTTCCTGGCCATTTAAAGTGTCCTTTGCAGCCTTCATCATTGTGAGCTGCCACAAAGGAATGTGGGCATAATTGGCTGGTATGATTTAGAAATTAGTCATTGGGCTGTAAAAGGTGCACTCAGCCAATGAGAAAGTCTCAGCGCGGACTGGCGCACTTTGATACAATTTTGTTCTGGTTTTTCAAAGGCTCTCTGGAACAGCCTCTAATCTTTCATTAGTGACACTGTGGAAAGATCCATCTGCCAATTAGCAGAGACTTGAAGAGAAGAGGGCAGCTTGCGATTCTCGCTCAAAATGAAAATGTATCCTAGTAGTCAGAATCCCAACAAGGAGAGCAAACTAGTGCTCACTGGAGAAATCATAGTATTGTGGAGTTGGATGGGACCCAAACAATAATCTAATATCAACCTCCCGCAACACAGCAAATGGCTAAAAATCCAAGACACATGGCCACCCAACCTCTGTTTCAAAACTTCCAATGAAGGAGAGGCCATCACCTTTCAAGGTTCCACCATTAGAAAATTATTTCCAATATTTAGTCAGGATCTCCTTTCTTTTAATTTGAATGCATTATTTTCTGTCTTACTGTAGGTTTTGTTTCATGTTGAAAAATACAATTTTATTTTATGGTTTATTATTGTTTATATTTTGAATTAGATATATATGGGGGCACCAAAATATTTTAAGTGCTTAGGGCCTCTAGAGGTCTTAATCCAGCCCTGCACCCATCCACTGGATCAGTTCCTGAGAAACCTGTTTGTACATATGATGCCTGCAGAAAACAGGCTTTGGCTGTACAGCCCATCAGCCAATGGATAGGTGAAGCCTCAGACACTTTGATTAACTCTTTGCAACCCTCTGCGCCCTGCCAAATATGGTCCCCGCAGGAGAGCCACTTCAGGAGATGGTCCATCGAGCCAATAGAGTTCCCCTTCCCTGCCCTAACAGGAAGACCCAGATAGTTTTAACTGTACTATTTGAAAGTCTTTCCAGATCAAGTCCAGTTTAAAGGTAAAGGATCCTAAGAAGGGAGACCAGAGGCGGACTCTGAAATTGCCCACAAACAATGAGCACCTGGACAGAGGACTGAGCTTGTATGGGCACCTTGTATAGACACAGGACACCTGGTGGTCTTAGTCTTCATAACTGGGTTCCCCACCCGCCACCCCCAATTTAAATTGTAGCCACGGTTTCTAAATTAGATATGGATTTAGAAGCAACGGCTAACATTTAAAATGAAAAACACATGAGCATACATACAGATTAATATATGCATAATTCATGCAAATCTGTCTTATTTTTTGCAATGGGCAACTGATCACCTTAAGACCATCCTTATGCTCCCCATCCTTCTTAACCTGCTCTTCTCTACATTAAGCCATTCCTCATGGTCAATACTTCCTTCATGGTCATAGCTACTTAAATCCTTTTATGCCTCACCCTTCCTCCAAGTTGCTCAAGATGGCATACACAGAATGAGTGACCCCAGTTTATTGCACTAGGAAGAGATGGACCATCCCAAGGTTGAACATCACAGTCCACAGAGGGATTCAAATCCAGGTCTCCCCAGCCCAAGTCCTCGGGGATGGGGAACATGCTGCCCTCCATGGGTTGTTAGGCTCAAGCTCCCATCAGCCCCAGCAAACTTCACCAATGATCTGGGATGATGTTAAACCATATTCCAACAACAGGAGTACCTCTGTTACTGCTCTATCCACATTACTGCCTTAGCTTTCTTAACATCAGACCAGGAAGCAGTCTTACAAGGAACCTTCAATTATTGCCCTTATTATCAGAGCCAATCCAAATGAATGGATGAAGTTCAGCCATGTTTACAAAGTATTGGGGGTGTGAGAGATTTTAAAAAGGGCACACTCACGCAAACGAGTATCATTTCCAACTATGGGCAAATCTTTTAACTACAGAAGATGATATTGGAGAATCCAGCGCAGAGCCTCCTCAGCTTCACTCTTAAGAGAAAGTGCTTTTTTTCCTGCTAGTTATTTATAATTGCACCAAGTAAAAAGTTTGGTATGCAAGATGTCAGCCTGATTAGAGATTATTTAATCATTTTTTTTTTCTGCCTCCGTTAAGCTGTTTAACCTCTGCTGTAATCCTGGCTGAGCCAATGACTTGCTGGGTAACCTCTGGCAGGTCCCTTGACCTTGCCGATCCTTTGTCAACCTAGCTGGAAAATTGGTTAAGCTGCCAACTTCACAGGCAGGAGTGGGGGAGGCCAGGAGGGAGGAGACGACCCTCTCCACAAATCATCACCACGATACACACATCACATTTTCGAATCTTCTGACTATACAAGATAGTGAGGCAGCAATATGCCTTCAGGGTTTTATTTTATTTTTAAAAGAAGAAGTTTGAGGCTTTCCACACAGGACAGGCAAACACTGATAATCACCCTCATCATTTCCATTAATTTATTTGTGAACCACCTTCCACACATATGTCCCACGGTGCTTCACAGACATATCCTTGAAAGCTGTTAAAACAGCTATAAAAACAGTACAAGAACAACCAAATATAACTTCAAAAACAACACCGAGTGGACATCCAGGCCCAGAGACCTTTTCATCAAGCTAGAAAAGCTTGATTTATATACCAGTTGGTTTATTTGAAAAAATAAAAACAAACCCTCAAAGCTGTCATATCTCAAGATCTAATGGTAGGTATATGGGTGATTTTCAGTTTTATTAAATTTATATCCCAGCATTACTCTCAAAGGAGCCCAGGCCAGCAGCTGATCAGGAAATATTTCCAGGGCTTGTAATTCATATAACAAGAAGAAGATTGTGTGTGTGTGTGTGTGTGTGTGTGTGTGAGAGAGAGAGAGAGAGAGAGAGAGAGAAGAGAGAAGAGAGAAAGAGGGAGAGAGAGAGAGAAAGAAAGAAAGAACGAAAATGATTTCTCTATCCTAGAATGATGGGACGTCCAGTCAGGTGAGAGAAGGCCCACATATTTGCTTCTATATCAACAGAGTTCACTCTTTAAGATGCTGCTAACATGTACTGTTCTTAGGGCTTGTCCCATGCCTAGAAAACATCAATCTGAGCAGTATTTGCTTGACCCATGCTTTCTAGGCTCCCCCCCCCCTTGCCTCACACTCCTTTCCCAGGGAAAACCCACTCTTTAGCACTAAATCAGAACAAATGTTGATCTGGAGAAGCCCCAAATTGCTGTTTGCTCCAACTGAGAGAAATTTTCCCCAGGGAACAGCGTTGGGACAAGAAGAAGTGTGGATGAGCTTTCAGCTGAGCAGCTAAGGCCACTACCTTAAAAAAGGGAGCTGGCTTGACTGGTTCAGCAGGTTTTCTCTTACAGATCCAAACCTCATAGATACAGAATCACAGACCTGGAAGGGACCCACAGGTACCATACAGCCTGACACCCCCCAAAAAAGTATAACAATATGCTCTCACAACAATGAGTTACTTTATTCTGTAGTAAGTGAATGGTTACCATTTATGTCTATCAAAACACCACAAAATCAGAAGCTGCCTTGATGCAAGCCAGACCTCTGATCCATATAGCTCAGTACTGTCTACTCTGCCCCGAAAAACAATATCCCTCCAGGAATTCAAAGGGTTACTCTACAAGGAGATGCCTGGGAACTAAGGGAGAGAAGATTGTCACATGCCTTCTGCATCCGTTACCCTAGAGCTACACCACTCCCACAAGGGTCTTGAGGCATATATGTCCCTCCTTTCTCCACCCCTTAACCACCATGGACATTTTGCTTAGCATGTAATGAAAGTATGACACACAACCCTATTCCACCACATCCCTACCAGACAGAAGGTATCTACAAAATAATTGCAAAATAAATATTTTGAAAGGGATTCACCGAGGAGGAGGATTCGCATCCCAAGAGTCAATCTTCTTCATTCTTTCTCTTGTAATAGATCTGTGGTGCTAAATGTTTAAGTTCTTTCTCTTGTAATAGATCTGTGGTGCTAAATGTTTAGGTTTAGTAAATATTAGGATTTAATTAGAACTTGTATGTTATAACTGAGATATGTTATAAGGCAGTCTCATTGTGTATTAGAAGGGGTTTATGTAAGGGGTTTGAGGTGTTTAATTAGTGTTTGTGTGTAAAGACTGTGTCAGACCTTCAGAATGTAATCTAGAGCCATGTATGAACCTACTTCTGAGCATCAGCAATTAGCATGTGAAAGTTAATTAACCTAGGTAAATGTCCTAAGTGTGCACCAGTCTTTAATCCTAGTCGTTGATGAAGTGAGGTGACCTTTGTTAGGTGATGCTACTTCAAAACATCAAAAGAACTGACCATTAGAATACAAATGAATAAAGGAGGTTTAGGTTTTAGGAACAGCAAAATTAGGAAATATGGGACCAGGAAGGAGGAATGGATTCATGCTTGTATGTGCCCAGAAGACCAAGACAGGTGGCAGAGCAAAAAAGGATGTTGACGATGCAACTGTAAGGATAAGCTAGAATGTTTTCTGGTGCTGCTGCTGTGTGCTCATTTGGAGACTAAGGGTTGTATTTATGTGTAAAATAAACCCTATATTATTAAGACACTAGCCTCCATTGTGTCCAATCCTTCCAAAGGAACACAGACCCTGGGTGAGCACCTGGAACCCCATTTGAGTCAGCAGTGATTGGAGGTGGCACCCAACTTTTGTAATACTCCATTACAGAAATTGGTAAGGTACATATGCATGCTTTGAAACATAGTATCTGCAGACTAGGGTGGATGAATCTTTCCATTTGGCTTTCTCATTTTTCCAGTCAAGAAGAAGAAGAGTTTGGATTTGATATCCCGCCTTTCACTCCCTTTCAGGAGTCTCAAAGCGGCTAACATTCTCCTTTCCCTTCCTCCCCCACAACAAACACTCTGTGAGGTGAGTGGGGCTGAGAGACTTCAGAGAAGTGTGACTGGCCCAAGGTCACCCAGCAGCTGCATGTGGAGCAGCGGAGACGCGAACCCGGTTCCCCAGAATACGAGACTACTGCTCTTAACCACTACACCACACTGGCACAGTCAAGTTCAGTTCCCCACATTTCCACATTTTGGGGGGGAGAAAATTGAGAAAATTCATCAGTGAACTAATGCACATTTCTTCCACTATTCACTTTTTGTATGCTATTTCACCTAACGTACACTCCAATATAATGCATTTTAGTGTTATCTTAACATATGCATGTTTATGCACACTTTCACACAACGTATACTTTTTAAAAATATGCATACTTGTGTTGGAGAAGCAAACCACAAATTTCAGAGGTATTAATTTCAAAGGAAAGCTCTCAGGCATTTCAGCTCTCAGGCAGTGTGAATTAAGGAAATTCACATATAAATACAAAACAAAACAAAATTTCCCCCTATTGTGCAAGTGATAAACTTGCACACACAAAAGCTCTGCTACAGATCAGGCATCTCAAGCAGCACCATCCTGTATTCCCAGACATTCCCCCCCCAAAAAAACAACCACTCCAAAACCACCCAGGAGGAGGCTCAAACATGCAGCTACAAGCCTTTACCTGTTGTTTATGGACCCCCAAAACCACGACCGGAGTTTTCTCCTCCTCCTGGGTTAAAATACCGGTACCTCCTCTGCTTCCAAGCACTAGGCTCACATCCCCAGCAGGAGACAACCAGCAAGCAACACCCACAACACCACAAACATATTTGAAGAAAAAAGGTGCAGGCAAAAGACACAGGCATACCAGGAACAAGAGTTAGAGAAGCGCAAAGTTTCATTTATATATATCAGTTTCATTTATATATATATATATATATATAGAGAGAGAGAGAGAGAGAGAAGCAAGCAACTATACCCATGTTGGCCACGAACACCTTTTCTGCAGCATTCAGAGAGAAGAGATATCCAGGACTAGTCCCATCATGGAGGATATCCTTAGGAAACTCCAATATAGAGGAGGGGGTGATCTTTGCTCCTGTCTCCTGACTTTAGGAAGGGGGGGGATATAGTTTGTCTCTCTCAGATTGCAACACAATCTCTCCCTCCCCATAGCCACTCCCTTCTTCCTGCCTTCATGTTCTGCTTGTGGACAGTGGGCTATACCTATAGTTTAAACAGCCTCCAGCTGTATCCACTTGCTGGCTTAATCCTTGATTAGCTTGGCTCCATCCATCCCTTGCAGACCTGGCAACTGAAGAAGGCAGAGTTGATTTTCTCAGCCAGGCTGTTTCTTGAAAAAATAAGAAAACATCTTTAAGCATTTTACAAACACTGGAGCTTGGGGAATATTCAGCAGGCTTAAGCTGGCTCATTTGTTTCCCACCTCCTCCCTACATGATGATATGGGGGGGGGGGAGCTGCACCAGTGGAAACTCTGCCTGCCTCAAGATTTTTATGCCACATACGCAGAAGTCGTGTCCTTGCGCCTCAGTGCTAATTAATTGGTTTGTTAATTCTAGAATTTCCACCGTCTTTCCATAAAGTCATCAAGAAAAAACAGTAAAAAAAACAGTAAAAAAAAAAAGAAAGATAACTCCTCAGGCATTGTTAAATAATAATCCAAAAATAAATCACAGCCCACACTAAAACTCAAAAGCAGTATAAATTCAATCTTTCTTTTTAAATTAAATCTATTTTTTTTCTGAATTGGCCCACTGAAATAAAACCCATCTCCACAGCTCATTTAGGAGTATGGAGGCCAGAGATTATTCCACTCCTTGGATCAGTACAGGTAAGATTGTCAGCTGCCCACAGAAATATGCCAGTGATTTTTTAAAAGCAGATTTTCCAGCTGCACAAATTTCCAGTCAGACACCCCACACTAAAAATAGAAGAAAAATGCCAAACCAAGAGACGTGTGCTTTGCTCCTTGTTTCCTTTACCCGTGGCAGTTTCTCGACAGGAGAGGGTAGTTCTTATTTACTATACAGTGACTCCAGCAGACACATTCAAAAATGAGTACTTTAAAGGTATTTACTATTAAAGGATGCAAATGCCTATTACCTGACAGAAGAGGAAGATGAAGAGGTGGCAGCCCCAGCCAAAAGAAGGTAGCAGCATTTTATACGGTTTGGGCAGATTGTCTTAAGTACGGAAACTGAACACTTTCTGCCCTTATGCAATTGGTATACAGTATATGCTTTTCCCAACATTGCCTGCCTTTAAGTACTTAATAAGCACACACACTTAACACATTTAATTCCCCTCCTCCCCCATTTATCAAACCACACATTTGTGACCAACTGCACATTTTTAAAAAAGCCCTTCAAACATGCCCCAGGGTGTATGTGTGTGTTAAATATCTGGTTACATTGCCAGAATGTTGTGTAAAAGCGAGAATTCATGACTAGCTGCTAGTTTATTTTATTTAGAGGCAAGCTGGGAGGGCAGCCAAGAGACCGTCTAAAGGAATTAAGCTACCAAGTACCCTTCTCTAGAAAGAGTTTTCCCAGCTAAAATCTGGATTGGAGACAGAGCTATATTGGCTCAGAAAAGGGGCTTCTGCTAGCCCATTGGCATTTTTGGCTTCTCTCCCACCCCATCTTAAACACAGTGTGTAAAGCAGTTTAGAAAGCTCTGTTTCTGGTGTGAAATGAGGATCCTTGCAGTTTTTACTTTTGTGGAGTACAAAAATGTAGATAGTGGGGTAGGAGGAAATTAAATGCATACAGTACTTACTTACAAAAACACCTGCTTTAGCTAATGTTCTATCTTAATTTGCAACCAGAGACATATTTGCTCATTTGTTAAGACTTCGTATGTGTGTGTGTTTCAAATGACATACTATATTTTTGCTCCATAAGACGCACCTTTTTCTTCCTAAAAAGTAAGGGGAAATGTCTGTGCGTCTTAAGGAGCGAATGTGTGGTCCCTGGAGCCGAATTGCCCAGGGGCGAAAAGCAGATCATGCTTTTTTTTTTTTTTTGAAAGAGAGAAGTGGGTGTTGAAACAAAGCCACTGATCGGTAAGCAATTGGGAGGGAGATAAGGGACGCTAGCAATAAAGGAGGTTGCCTGGGAGGGGGGAAGTAAAGACAGCGAACTTGCAAGGAGAGGAGACAGGAATACTAAAACAAGCAATGAGGAGAGAAATTAGAGGAGGAGCAAAAAACTGCTCCAGCTAAGGAAAGGACGCTAAGGACGCTAGAGATAAAGGAGGCTGCCTGGGAGTGGGGAGGTAAAAGCCCATGGATCCTCAGGATTTTTGCATTGGGTCACCCCAAATTCACCATCAGATCACATAGCATGTCCATGGCTACAGCCTGCACCAAAAAAAATCACGCACCATTTCGTAGGGCCACAATGGCACAAAAATGTGGTTACAAAGCACGGATCCACATGGATCCTCAGGAATTTTGCATTGGGCTACCCCAAACTCACCATCAATTCACATGTCTGTGGCAACAGCATGAACCACAAAAATCATACATCCACTGTTTCATTCAGAATACTTTTTTTTCTTGTTTTCCTCCTCTAAAAACTAGGTGCGTCTTATGGAGTGGAAAATACGGTACTCCCAGAGACTGTGGTTAATGCTTAATGACTTCACCAGGGGTTGCCACTAGGTCTCAGGTCTGGGCCCTGAAATCCCAGGGTCTGGGATGCTCCTGTCCTGACAACCCTTAGGTATCTGTAGCACCCAGGAAGACCTTACTCAGCCCCGCAATCTCCACAAATTGATCTCATGGCTACAACATCCAACCACTTTTTGTATTTTTGTCCTTCTCCCCACCCCCACCCCCCGATTTGTGTTACATCTTGCTCAATAAAGAACTCTGAAGAATTTAGAAGCTAGTCGCAATTTTGTGACCTTTCTGGTTGGCCTTCCTAAAGAGATTACCTTTCCAGCATTATCACTTCCTCACTGCTGCAGCTCTGAGGGCCCTTCAACTGGCCTCTCAACTGTGGGCCCTTCAACTGTGCCTTTAAGAGTTAAGAGCTTTACTGAAAGTCCCCTCATTTCTGGTTGGGCTCATATATTTTTTTCTTTTTTTTAAGAGCCTGACAAGCAGAAATTTGGCAGAAGGTTGCTTTTCCAAGCATGCAGATGGGATAGCTTCAGCTGCTGAGTTCTTGAGCCTGTCGCACAGTTGAGTTTTGAGGCACAGCAAAATGTAAGAAAAAATAACTTGATAAGCTCGTGTTAAAGGGACGGTTTCAGTGCCTTGCAATTTGCATTTCATTTATCCCGGTTTTGAGAAATACAACCCTTCAGATCTCTCTGTCTGGCAGGATATAAAAGGAAGGAAGTAAATAAATAAATAAATGCAATACCCTTCCATGGCATCACTTTAGTCCTTGATACTGAGTAATCACAGCATGATAATCAAGAGGTGCATGGGTGGTAAAATTTCTCTCTACTCCAACATCTTTAAAAAACAACAACTGAATTTACACATGCCAAATTGGATCCCAATTTGAAAGCATGTCAAATTACAGAAACTTATTGCAATATAAGTTGCACCTCAGGGCCAGACCATGTGCAGGGATCTTACCAGAGCTGCTGTCATTCAAACATACCACTGGGACTCACTGTGTCAAATGAACCTGGGCTCTGGTATAGCTCTCTTGAACCAACCACAAGTCGTAAACCATAAGCAAAACTTGGTTGCAGTTTGTGGTTTGGTTGCAGTCTGTTTCTGATTACATGCTAAGGAAAGCCATGGGTTAAGTTCAGCACAGCATCAGAATAATATTGGGGTGGTGGAGGTGGTAAGCAGCCACTATTTCCTGTCCCAGAGTCTACATACTTGCATGCTAAGCCATGGTTTAGCTTAGTGTGCAAGCCAGGCGAGTCTATATGGCAGTCAAAACCCAATCAAAGTGCTTATGTTCACAAATGAAAAGGTTTGCTTCCTACCCAGGCTTTCAAGGAGGAAAAACTTCTATGCATTTTTGTTTCAGCTTTGATACAGGTAACATATTTATTGGAAAAAATTTCTCCACCAACAATGGTGAAATCATGCCAAAAAATTACAAAACATCATGGCAAGTTGCTTTATAAAAATAAACAGAAGGATTTTGTCACACTGATTTGTCCCCTTCTCCCTGTCAGTTTTGCATTTTCGTCCTTACAGCAGGATGTTGCGAGTTCTATTTCTTTGTAATATATAGTATTAGAAAATTGCATTCCATTCAGAAAAATGGTTCTGCTATCAGATAGCCAAGAGCCTTGAAGAGGCTCTTCTCCCAAGTTCTTCCTAAAATAAATATAGAAAATAGCCTCTAATGAAAAGGTTTGGTCAGTTTAAAAGGAAAGGAAAAAAAGGTCTCTTTTCCTCCCTTTTTGGGAAATAGAACAACATATCAGTTCATTTTAAATAGTGCTCAAGGCTTTGGTGGATTCAGCTACTGAAAATAATAGTAGTTTTTTAATAAAAAAATCTCGTGATGATCCACTGAGTTCTTGTTTTGTCAGTAGCCAAAGAAAACATGGGTTCCTGCTTGAATCAGTCACCAAATGCCAGGCACAAGCAATCTTCATTAGTAACGATCATCATAATTCCATGAAGCAGCCAGTAGAAGGTAATCTTTGGCAACTGTGGTCAAACAGATGGTGTCTTTGGTAGGTGACCCTGCTGTATAATTTGTGGCCGCTTGACTCTGGGCTTCCGTCTCTTTGGCCTGCTCTTAGCTTTGATCTGCACCACAAAGAAGGCCAGGACCACCATAGCACCGAGTAACGCAAAGACGGGTATCGTCCCTCCCACATCCTGGTTGTACCGTCCAGGCATTATTCCTGTATGGGAAAGGGAGGAGATTAATGTAAGCAAGCTGAGGATGCATTAAGCCCTGGGCAAACAAGAGTTGTAGAAACTGCCACACAACTACTGGGTTGCCAGTCTTACTCAGAGTAGGCCCCTGAAATTAATAGTCACGGCCAACTTAGGCCCATTAATTTCAAATGGGTCTACTCTGAGTAGGACTTGGCTGGATACAACTCACTGATTTCAACCAGGGATCACTTCCATGCAATTTTATTAAAGCTGATCATCAAAAGCATAGGCCTGCCTAAAGTTTCCCTTGTGGGGGAAACTACCAGTTTGAAAAACAATGTTAAAATATGAAACACTGAAACTACTATGTGCCCTCCTCTATTGATTTTACCTGGCTATAAAGTATCCCAGAACTATGAACTCTTCCTTGCCTGTATGGAGAGTGGTACACATCTGGCCGCACCCACCACTAGCATGTGGCCCCTTGGAAGCTGCCCATGAGAAAATGTGGCCCCTTGGGCTAAAAATGGTTTCCCACCCCTGCTCCAGGGTGTTACTTGAGTTCACATGAGGGGTGTCCATCAGGGCTAGGCATAAACAGGTATGTGCCATGGAGTATTCCCCAAGAGGAATTTCGATGGCAGACATACAGGGGCTCCTTATCAGACTATTCTACGTAGAAAATGGCTACAATTAAAGCTAGGAAATATGAAAACTACTTTTCTAAAACATCAAAAGCCAGAAATTTCACAAGCTATGCCTGTGAACAGTGTGGGCAGGTGTGCTAGCACTAATTATGGCCAAAAAATACATACTAAAGAGGCATAAATGAGCTGTAATCTTGATAACTAAAAGTTGGATCAAGGTGATTCCAGATGTCTCTGTATTTCTTCTGAATAGGTGTGTATGCTTCTATCTCATTTAGGGTGGTGTGATGCACTGTGGGCAACAGGTGTTCCACCATTCTGGCACCTACCCCCTGGAATATCCCAGGCTCCACTTTCTCCAGGTGACAAAGGCCTTACTTGGGGTCGGTTCTGACGGAAACTTGGTAAAGCCACTTTGTCCAGGTCGATTGACAGTAACTTCTGATGTTTCCATAGGTTGCTGGAAAAAATGAAAGCATCCAGAACTATTTGTACACTGGGCTACTAGTCAATCAAGATTGCTAGAAAACATTTTGAATATCTGAACATTTCAGTGGGTCTACTCTATGTACATCTTAGGTGGGATACAACCTAGGATTGCAAACTAGGTCAGGCAGACTCAGCCTTGTTTGGCCAGAGCTGGGCAGTGGCACATGGAAACTGCAGAGACTAGCCACAGTGGACAGAAGAGCCTCCTTACATCTATAGGTCAGAAGGGGTCAAGTTATACTTCTCAAATCTTATGAAAACCCCTGGCCTGTCTGAGCAACTGGGAAGTCATTGCATGCTGGGTACACACCACATTTGCTTCACCTGGCCTCAACTGCAAGGTCTGGCATTCCCTGTTCTTTCACTTCTAGATGGTGGGCCTTAAATATTAAGGATGGCATTTTCATCTCCACAATCAGGAGAGCTAGAAACTACTTTTTGGGAGGGGAGGAAGCAGACAGGTTTATTGCGAATGTGGTGTGTGAATTCAGCTAACTGCTGGTTCTATGAGTTTTTTTGGTATGTTTTTAATTACATTTTAACAGTATCATTCATAAGCCTGGAAAGTTAATCAGACAAAATACTGTGTTGAGTGCCATATTGATTACATTCAAAACTGGAAACTAAAGGTGGGTTTAGCAAAATCAGAAATTGCAACCTGGGAGCCGTTTCGTTCAGAGGCTGTGGCTTCGCCCAAGACAAATGAGGACACGCTGGGAGTGAGCGGGGCTTAGGGTCACGCAGGTGAGCCTCGAGCACCTTCGAATATCGATGAAGATGGTTACCTGAAATCACAGAGTGAAACAGTTATACCAGAAGATAATTCCCTGCCTGCTGCCTGTGCTGTTTTCTAAGCATGAGGAACACATCTTCCATTCCTGAAGTACACACGCCCTCCCAAATTCTACAGTAGGTGGAGGCATGGAGCAAGTGTTCTGGTTGGAGGGCAGATACATTTGCCTC